GAACCCCGTAATCCCACTCGATATTCTCTCTTCTCTCTTCCGCACTTCTCTCTTCACCGCTCGCACTCTGACCACTCACAGTCCTTCTCTGGTTTCTCACAGTTCTACTCGAACCTCTCACAGACCCGGAGAGCAGCGAGTCGTCTCCCGAGTGGCAGCGCGGTGCGCAGCTATCATTTATTCAGCGCAGTAAACGCCGCAGCGCGCCGCCTATTATGACCGACTCGGCTCACATCGGACGACCACACAATAGCACCGCGAATAAAAGCCGCACTGCACCGCGTAAATCGCCACCGGGGCATCAACGTCGGGACCGCTCTCGTTTGGCTAGTGTGGACTGCGGGGCGGCGGGGGCGGAGGCGGGGGCAGTTGACGGGGGCGGGGGTCGCGGGGTGCGGCGGGGGCGCGGTGGGGTGGCGGTCAGGGGTCACAGACGCGGCACTGGGTCACACGACCCCATCTGGTGTCTAATTTAGTCAGAGGTTGGGACCTCCACTAAAGAAAGAGGCTGGCTTCGATGGTTCGGTAATTGGTTGCTTCATAACCGGTGTATAAAAGAATTTACCCTTATCAAACATTTTCGTACTAAACGAAGTTACAGTGCAATCATATAGCAATGAACGATTCAGTGTTGAAGTGGGATGCACTAACAATTCATATGGCTTGCGTTCTCGCACGCACTGGCGAAGTGCCACTGAATGCTGCACGGTGGCGCCAGACCGGTGAGAACGCGAGCCATCAGACGCTACCGTTGGAAGGTATCGGCCTCTCTCCTCAGCGAGATATGTTGACTCATCGCGGGAGTGACAATAGAATCTGACTCCCCGCGGCGGCCGGGTATCGGACGCTGCTTTCGGTCGCTGTCGAGCAATCAGCCCCGGCAGCTCAGATGTCGCTCAGCGGTCGGATCGGAGCCGAGGCAGCCGACCAACTGTGCAGTCTGTGCAATAAGCCGACAGGAATTCAGCATGACACTCCGAATCAGAGATGAGTCCAGATATGGAGCCGCGCAAAACGGGGCCGGTCGAGAGCTGGTCAGTGGTCACTGGATCAGCTCAGCGCCACTAGCTGAAACCCGGCCAGCTCCCAGGCGGGAATATCGGAGACAAAACGGCTTCCCGGCGCCTTCTCATGCGTAATTGTCTCCTCGGTCCGGTGAGCCATCATCAAACGGAGCGTAGCGAATGGTTCTCTGACGCGGCAGCTACCGCGATGAGGGCGATGAGTCGCGCCTTTCGCCACGGCGGACGGCGCAAAAACGACGCACCAGCGGCGATCGGCGGCGTCGGCCTCGCCGCTCGGTTCCGGACGCGTGGGAATCGGACCGGCGAGTGGGTAATTAGCACTCCCAGAGCCCGGCCGAGGTCGGGTTGCAGTACCTAGTGGGACGCTGCAGACGAGCCAGACATTCCACCGCCCCCGGACTCCCTGCCGCCCCCGCCCCCGCCCCCGCCGCCGCCGCCGCCGCGGGGCAGGGCAGTGCGATATGGCCAGACGATCTCGGCGGGCGGCGCTCGGATCCGCGGTCCATCCAGAGAGCTCTAGGTGGACCGGTTTTCCAGTCCGGCTCGTCTGCAGACCTGGCATGGACATTATCGACTGCCGCTATCAGCGGTCGATCGGCGGGCGCGGCGCTCGCGTCCCAGTCTGGACCGTGCGCGCCTCGAGAATCGGTGTACGCACGATGTTGGAACGGTCGTAATCCCGGTTATACACTGCTTACACGGCACCGCCCGCCCTGGCGCTGTGTAGGCTCGAGTGAGTTTACCCTGTCTGCCAATTAGGCGTGTTATGCACCACTGCTTAGTGATGCGTGTATAAAATGTGGGTGCGAATATGTTACATATGCATACCTACATGTTGAATAGATGTCGATGTGACTCAGGCTGTCAATTAACTTTTAATCGCATTGATATCGTACTTATCTTCAAATGCCTGAATCTGGTAGCTTGCAGTTCCTATTCGATTGCCAGCAAATCGCAAATGATGTATGTATATTAAGAGAGACAGGTCCCGCTGGATTCAACGCAATCCACAACCACCCAACCACCCCCTATGTGGGCCGACCAGGGACCGTTTACCGCCCTTCACATCTCACCTCTGTCAGTTACGGTTGGCTGGCCCACCGTGCGCGCAACCACGCACCGTTTGGGGTCGCAGATGACCCCAGCTGAGCACCATCGGCCCGTTCCGCACTCCGCTTCCCACAGGCTCTAAAAATGGGTTTAAGTAGTATTAAAAAGCCCCTTCGCTGCGGTAGATGTAGGCTCGTGATTTGATTCATCTTAGATAGATGACATTTAACTGCAAATGACGTGTGATATATCAATTTCGTGCGGTACTTTTGCGTTGCATGATATATCTTCACAGCGGTCTGCGAGAAGGCCCTGTAAAAATGCCCTGACCGTTTACCATCTCCTAACTCTTACGATCCCTCAAGCTGTTTGCCCAACCACGAACGTGCCATAAACGCGAACTTCATTCATAATCAGTAATTCCTTTGACCACCTAACGGGTACTATAAAATCCACCATGACAAACGTTCAGGCGAAGTAGTGTTCCGTTAATCTAGTTCTACATAGTTGATCCACACAATCGCATACCTGGATCAAATTCAACAGACAGCCTTCTCCAAGTTTAGCCTGGTGGTCCGCCTGTTGGAGAATCTGTCGGTCTCTCATTTTGCAGTCCGTCAGTTATTACCTCAGTCTCTCAGTCTGCCAATGTGCCAGTCTGTCATTTTCTCAGTCTGTAAGTCAGACGCAGTCTCCCAATCAAATCATTGCCAATCTGAATAACCTACCATTCTGTCAGTTATACATATCAGTCTGTCAGTCTCTGTCAGTCTGTATCTCAGCCAGTCAGTCAGTCTGACAGATGGACTCAGGTCATTCCTAGTGTCGGTCCCGCTCAAAGTTCGCACGGTCTCTCAGCATGCACTGAAGAGCGGGCGGCGCGCGCAAAAACGCAGCCGGAAACGGCGGGAGACGGCGCCAGAGCGGTCCAGCCTGCAGCGCGGGAACAAACCGGCTCAGCGGCCATAGACTGATGTGGTTCATCAGAGGTGAAGGCTGTCCATGCGCAGATAGGCGTGTAATTAAATAACTAATACTGGGGCTAGTGGGTTATATAATATCTAACGTTCTATAGCATGATGTTTTCAAACATAAAAATATTTCAGCCTGTTATGTTTTCCGTTCTTCCTTCAAGCATGATTAACCTCTCGCCTGTTGATCTTTTATCGTATGCATACATGCTCTGTTATTCATTTCATCTCCTTGAATCCTGAGCATGCATGCCAGTTTTGCGTGGCAACCGTGCATCATGCACCGACATTTCAGCAGCATGTTTACGGTAATTTAAGCAGATTGTGCTACTCAGTTGGCGATAACGGCGCTGGACTGGTCGGACGTTGTAAGCCTCCGGGGCTGGCTGAGAATGCGGAACACTTTGGGAGCGGCCAGCCAGCCAGTTGACTAAACCGAGCCCTCATACCTACGAGTACGTGTGACGTAATAACTGTAACGCCACAGTTGAATTTATGCCTGCTCTCAAACCGGTGGAAAGCAAATTAACCGCGCGAACCACTCCAAATGGAGTTCGGCGGTGGTCGGTCGAGGCGGTACTTCGACCATCGACCGGGTCCGTTCGCAGCCATTCGCACCCAGCTATCGCAATCTCTCATGAGCGCAGCGCTTCTAGACGGCCGACTAATTGGTAATTGCAGGTCCCGACAAGCAGATCCGCCCTGGAAAGGTTTTAAATAATCAACTTTCAATCTCATCTGGTTTTTGCACTTGGGAAACCTAGATTAAAGTGCTCACGGTGTGTGTATAGATGGTCCAATGTTGCATAACCGCTGGTTGTGGGCCGCTATTCGTTATCAGACGCTAATTAATTGGGGCTAGAGGACTGGTTGCGACACAGATTACAACGCTGCCTCGATTATAGCTGGGGAGATGTGACCCCATTACATGGAACATCTTCGCATCGGCCCTCAGCGTTTGATGTTTCTAAGCCATGAAATTAAAGGAAAGTAATGCAGCACACGCCGCCCCGCTGAGGGAAACATAAACAGCAAATCCGTAAACATTATCCACTTACAGTATTTAATGACAACATCCCAAGAAGTACTCTTCAGGGAAAGCGACCGTTTCAAAGAGAATATTATATATCTGAGTTTAACTAATTTCGTTTTTAGGCATAAACGGTGCAGTCTATCCTGCTCAAATCATTCAGCGAAATCGGGCGGTGCGTTTCTAGTAGCATGGCCAAATCAGATAATCTGCTGAGGCACGGCCAGCGTTATAATTAGCTTCCCCGATTCACCAGAACTCGGCTACTGTAACATACCAGGATCCGATGTGAAGGCTGTGTGCAAGGGCGTCCCATTCTATTCTGACAAAAAGCATGAACTTCTTATATGTAGTCGTGCTATCGTAGCCAATTTGAATTATCACGACTAGCCGATGACTGGCTACGAGATGTGACGCTTATCGACAAGCCACTGAAGTCACTGATTAAGAAATGACGATCGTCCCTTCAAAAATAATAAACACCTCGCATCAACGGGCTGTCTGAGAAATATCAAACTATTTGAGACATCTGCTTTACGATTAAAATGCCTGTAATTACTCATATGAAACATGGCCTAATAATTGGCAATATTTCCTTTAAAAAAGATATTCATAACAATAAGGTTTCCTTGGCGTTCCCTCTCCCTATCTCTCTTTTCGTTTTTGTCCTCCTCTCGGCTTTTCTTTGCCACTCTCCTGTTTCTGTACGACCTCCATTCTGTTTCCATATTTGCCTTATTTTATCCATCTTCTATTCCCCTTCGCCTCGTCTTTCTTTCGAAAGATTCTCCGCTCTTGTGCCCATCTTCCAGCTACATTGTTCAGTGTTCACTGTCTACTCTCTCCACACCCCTGTCCTCTTTCTCAACATAAACCCCCCTTCCTCCTCTGACCATAATACCCTCCATACTCCTGCGTTCTCACCTTGCTGGAAGTAGTTGGCCTTTCTCAGGTAGACGCAGACGAGCGCCATCAGCTGCAGCTGCGAGAGCCGCTGTCGGGTGCTGGCGGGCAACGGTAGCAGGTCGCGCAGTACCGCGATCTCACTGTTGATGAGGTCGCGACGCATCTTGCTGGCGCCCTTGGTCGACTTGTGGCCATCGTAGCTGGAGGAAAACAGAGTGTAAGAGGGTGGTCCGGAGAAGGGAGAGGTGGCGATGCGGAGCTCAGAGGGGTGCTGGGTCGGCGACGGGCACATGCATAAAGAGCAGACACCGTTCAGTGATTCATTGGGATGATCTCAACATAATGTGCGCCGGGTAATAGACCTATAGATACTCTGCTCTGGGAATAATGTATTACACTTGAATGCTAATTAATTTCTGCGGCTTTCGAGTGGAGAGCGTTGGGCTATTTATTAAACGTCTTACCAGCGCAGAAACTCTGCTGCAAAATATACCAGCGGAGAAAAGGAACAAGTGCTCGCCTATTGAATGTGGTTCTCAGCGGCGGTGATCGGTTGTCTTACATGTCAAACATTCAAGAGTGTTCCTTGCTTAGCGTATCAAAGTGTATATGTTGTAATAAGCTAATCACTATTCCTTAGCCCATGCAGGAATGGAGGCCACAACTCGCAGAGCCGAGACGCTGCACCGTCTCCTGAATCGTACCGCTCGCCATCGCGTGCGCAGCGATAAAATTAGATTCTGATCTGCCATGTCAAAGCGGTTCAAAGGTCATGACAAGCTAACAGCTCTGGGCTAGAGACGTCCACTTTTTATGCCGACCTAATTGGATCAAAACATCGCGAAATCAAAAACCGTGTAATTGGGCCGTGTTTTTGCGTCACGATTTTGACACATTAAGAGCATCGTGCGGATTGGATAATTTGTGTCATGGCTTCAGCATTGGATAGTAATTTGTCTGAACGGTTCCCCTCGCCGCTGCGCTAGTGACTGCACACGCAATTAGGAGGGGATGGGGCTGGTGTCCACCACTTCTCATTTCTGAATTCCAACGGGATGGTTTGGTAAGAGAAAAACGCTGATAGGGTGTCACCATAGGATACTGCAGAGATGAAACTGCCGCCATTGTGACAGCTTGGACAAAACATTGCGAAGTGATTCTATGAATGTAATATAAGGTGGTTATCGTTCGGAATGTACCGTTGCATTGCAATCCCTTTCGGGCATGGAGAGACCTGAATGCTTGCTGAGTGGTCTGCTCGTTTTCAACTGGATTTACTTTGCAGGCAATCGGAACTCATTTATAAAACATTTCCTGTAGATAGCAGGCATCGAGTCCTGAGGACGTCACCTGACGTAGAGCGTTTCAGAACATGTAGCTTTATTGTTATGCAACATATTGCACATTGAAGGCTGTAGTGTCGATGCGTGTACTATGCATTAATTACATGATTTAGATTATGACACATGCTCTGAATCAAGATCTGTTGGAATAAAGAAATGGTCAAGAGATTCACAAGTGCAAACGTGTAATTGTTTGCCTTATTTTTTCCTAATTTCAAATGTTGTGCAATAATTTGCATTGTACGGGATATGATACTACATTGGATTGGCAGCGTGCCTTAAAACAACATTGTTGAGCTTCAAGCAGGTACGTACAGCAGAAATATTTAGCAGAATACTGCTTACCCTCAGCTTCTACGATAATGCTTACGCTAAGCACAATGCCTTACGGTAAGAGCACCGTTATATTCAACGCAACACAATTTCAAGAATCAACAATGCAACTCTACACAGAATCATTTGAAGAATTGTTCCTATGCATGTAAAAGACATGGTTCCCTGAAATCTTCCGCCCTCACAAGGTGGAATGGTCGCTGGTCAGCGTTCGTTCATTGTAGCATGCATGTGTATGAAATAAAAATATAATACGTTTAAAACCGCGTGTTCCGTAGCAAGAAAAATGGATCTACCAGTGCACACGATGTAGTCAGTATGAGTATTCTCTATAAAACGCGAAGAAGTTAAACCGACTTAACTTACTCGGTAGACGGTTTAGTCAGGATCAGCCGTTAGGTCCCTAAAATATACCGGCATTGAGGAAATGAACAATTTTTGTTTTTACAAAAAGTGGCTACACGTCAAAATGGCATGCAAAAGACGCATGTTGATAGTGAACATCTTGCACGCTACTACCGAAACAGTGGGGTTTAGTCCAAAGTCAGTTATTCGTTTACGACTGATGGCTTGAAGTGGTGTAGGTAATGATGTGCGTTAGGAATTATTTTGCCCCAATAATGTCTTCAGCTTCCGTTCTAAGCTATCCATTAAAACCCTTCGTTTTGATGTCCGTAGGCTCGATAACATTGCATTTGCACATCGGGCACACCTCTGTGAATCAGGAGTGTAGCCTGGCAGCCCGTGCGACATTGCTCGAATGCTTCGGGCAGGTGAGCGTGATCCAAACGCGCCTGAAACGCATTGATGTCTCTGTTAATGGTTGTAAGTTGAAAGCCTAATAGGCTCTTTGCTTCTTGAAATGTGTGATGATCAAAACATGTAGGCATATCAAATCACAGGTGCATTTTGTGATAGGGATTCAAGCAAGTATAATCATCGCAACGAGCATTAAATAAAAGAGCATAAGAGAGATAAAAATACAATAAAAATGACTTGGCTAATGCTGATTATTTAAGGACATATTTGTGTTATGAGGTTATCGGTGGAGCCAACAAATAACTAAATGCACTTACTTTTATTGACGTTTCGGTTCCATACAACCTTCGTCAGAATAGAATTACAAGTTAAAATATAAATATACGTCTAAAATGCACATATTTCAAACAAACACACTGTGTTTGAAATGTGTGCATTTGAGGCGTATATTTATATTTTAACTTGTAATTCTATTCTGACGAAGGTTGTATGGAACCGAAACGTCAATAAAAGTAAGTGCATTTAGTTATTTGTTGGCTCCACCGATGACTTGGCTAAACACCGCCCGGTGCTCCACGAATGAGATGTTTCGGGCAATAATTGTAGAAATACTCTAATTATCGTGCATGCAACCCATCACATATCAACACAAAAACCCACAGCCAATGCACGAAATGCTTCTGAAATAACGCTACCAGTTTACATTTACCGATAACTCGCGTCGCCAGCTCGGTTGGGCAAGGCCAGACCTCACAAGTCAGCCAAATGAACGCCTCACGAGTTAAGCACAGCCAGCGGAGCGGTTAACCGTTATCCAGAAACGACTCTGAGTCGACAGACCTGTCCTCAAGCGTCGAGGGTGGCGCCCAACCGGTCAGATCAAAGCAGGCCGGGTGGAACGGTGACACTCAGACCCTGTCCGTCGCCAGCTGAGTGCTTCCCGAGTGCCTTCGCGGAGTGAGTGCCCCGAACACTTCCGAGTAGGTACGTACGGACGCTTGCTTCCCAGACAGCAATTTGCCGAAGACGGCGACTTGTTTGTACTACCATGAAGTGGCCTGCTTTATCTGTTTCTCACTTGTAGTGCCGTTATGTATTTGGGACTGTATAACTCCTGGATTATGTCAGAGTTACACGAAAATTGTCCTTATCTGTTTAAGGCTGGGACACGGCTGACGATTTCGCGTGAAAATGAGTTGTGGGCAAGAAACTTAAACCACTCGACAATGAAGCCAGAGGAAGCTAGCAATGTTGCTGGTAGAGAAATGATAAATTCGGCTCATTACTTGATGCTTGTTTATTTTGGCACACATTGACGAATGCAGTGACGTACAAGTAAAAACTAAATAAAGCAAGAGCCATGATGAAACATTTAAATAAAACAGTTACGTGGCAGTATTTCACTATCACAACAGCTTTTCAGTCCTTCTTCCATATGTGACAATCCAAAGTCATGATGACAATCTCAGCTCCTTGCATGAGCTCAGAGTGACTTCAGCAAGTGACGTCAGATTTTGACGTCACCAGTGCATTGGCGTAGGTGGGTGAGAGGCAACTGCTCCCGTTGGCCTTCGTTGTATGACTCACCGGACTTCGCCGACTCATACCACCCCAGATCACCCAGAGAAGTGTCATCTCCGGCCCCATATCCGACTCCCCAGACAGCGGCTACCGCTGGATTCCACATCTGACCGCGAGAGCACCATTCGGAGGCGTGAATAAGCCGTAAACCCCACACCGATGTACCGCTACGGTGAGAGAGTTAGCCGCAAACCGACCCACCCGAGCGCTGTCTCAGGTGCGGGGAGTGACCTAATCATGCTTTATTGAGGGCGATCGGTGCTATCATAGTCACCAGGATCCACGCCTGCTCAGTGTTTAGCCGCCGCCCTGAAACCGTCACCGTCTCGCCACCGCCACCGCCCTGAAACCGCCCTAGTCCCCGCATCTCTGTATCCGCCCTGCTACCGCCACCGCCTTGAAGCCGCCCCCTTTCAACGCTACCGCTACCGCCACCGTCTGAAGTCGCCCTACCGCCACCACCACCGCTGCCGGATCGTCACCACCGCCGCCCTAAAACCACCCTACCACCACCGCCGGAGCCACCGGCACCGCTCTGAAACCGCCCTCACGCCTCCAGCTCTATATACGCCTTGCTACCGACACCGCGACCGCCTTGAAACCGTGCTACCGCCGCCACCACCACCTACGCCCCCATCACCTGCCACCGCCCTGGAACCGCCCTACCGCCGAAACCGCCCGCCCGGCCCGGCCCGGCCGGCCCGGCAATGCCATGTCTTTTTAACCACGTGTCGTCGGACTTGTCCGGCCGGCCGGCGCGAGATAACAGGGCATTACACGGCCGTAATGGGGCTCTCTGTGCGCTGGGGCGTGTGTTCACCACGCTCAGTGCTCACTGCGACACCGCTCGAGGGGCATAATGGGACGATTATCGGACGGGGTGCGGTAACACCGCACACGAGCCCCGCTTGGTGTCCTAACTGGAGACTGTAGACTGTAGAGGCGGCCGACCACACCCACTGGACGAGATTGGACCGGAGTGGGCCCGCCCAGATGTGCAGGACAAGAGTCCGGTTTGTCTGAGCGGGTCATACTGGCAGAACATAAGGTTTGGACACCATTCTAGCATGTCTACACAGGAAGAATTTGGCTAATGATTGGTTGTCTGGAGTTTAGACTTGTGTGTGTTAAAATGAATGGCCATATTGGCAGAATTACAGGGTGAGCCATAAAGGCCACATTGGCACATTGTATTTGGCACACCACATTGTATGGTGTGAAATAGGTATATGTTTTCTTTGTTGTTGTCGTGCAGCAGCGTTACTAACCTGATGGTGTCGCTCTGTTGACTAGCCGTGTTCCACGCCTCGGGGCATGTCGGGTCCGCCGGAGGCAGCATGCCCTCGCGTTCCACTGCGGCAGAAACAATCGTCAGTTAATGTCATAGACACTTGACAGAGACGTCCCCAGTTGATGTCATAGACAGTCGTCAGACACATTCGCCTGTTGACATGATCATTATTCATAGATACCTATAACTGCGATTGAGACCTTCGTTAGTTAATGTCATTGACACTCGTCAGAGACATTCGTAAGTTGACATGATCCTTATAGGCACTTCGATAGAGACATCATTCGTCAGTTGACATCACAGCTAGATAAAGAGGCATTTGGATGAGCAGAAACTACCTGGAAAACATGACAGTCATGAAGTCATAGCAAACCAGGACGTTTTGAAACGAGTCTACCTATAAAGTCTCTTCTGTATCTATTCGCGACAACTTATCCTGTATCTAACCTATCAGGAGCAAAAGCAAAACCAGATTCATGTTATGCATATTTGTCCTTGCAACACATTACTTGCAGTCTGAAATGCCATGACTTTTAGCAGCAGTTCCAGCTGAATCCAACTGTTCTGGATTTTTTTCCCAGTTTACTGTTGGTATTTCCTAATTGAGCACACTATTGGAGGTCGTACGACGCACATGGGAAAAACTCGCGCCTCAAACAAAAACGCTAACGGAACTATAAACAATACCAGGCTTCAGGTAAACAACAGCAAAAACACCGAAGCTAATGAGACAAGCGTATTCAATCGCATCATCAAACCGCAAAGACCACCTCTGTGAAATGCAGCAGTGTAAGTCCGAAAGTGCAAACGAGGATTACATAATTAAAGTATCATACTAAACCAAATTGGTTTCCCCAGTCCTTCCCTTCGCGGCTCGCACCGGCCCCGGTCCTCCGCATGTCTGTGTCAGTGGTCGGCCCGTGGAGCCCCGTTTAGCGGGCAGATGAGCAGCTCCCCACCAGCGGCGGCGGCCCAGCCGCTCATCGCCCTACCTCATTACCCAGAACGGCCCTAAATTCCGCCAATTAGCACCACTGATGCGTGCCAGAGGCCACCGCCGATCTCTTGTTGGAGCCGGGCCTCGTTAATGTGTTTCCGTCTGGCCGTGCCTCGGGGGTTGCCGGCTGTGTTAACTGTTAAAAGCCAAATGGCAGGTGAAGTGTTCAGTTATGCCGTCCACACCTTGTAATCCATAAACTAGAATCGACTGTTAAAGATCAGATGATATGCTAAGAACTTTATATGTGGTTTAATTGCACGGATGCGCTCTGAGTTACCGGTTGAAAGATTATGTCAATAATGGTTAAATGGCATCTGTGTGCATGTGACTTGACCCTTAAGAGGAGAGGGCTATCATAGAATTTGAATATCATAGCGATGATTGTTCGTAAAGGTTGTTTGTGTGTTTATTGTGCTACTTGTTAGCTCTCTTGATGTTCCCATCAAATACAAATTGTAACAGATACCTATACAAATATCAAAGGAAACACTGTGCGCTATGCAGGAAGATCGTGCACAAGAAAAACTCAGGAAGGTGTGCTCTTGCAACGGCCAATTCATGCCCGCCTAACAAATATACCTACATTCACATAAGTGCCAATAAACACAAAAACTATGAATAGATCTTAACTATAACTTATTAACTATAACTTATAACTAGGTCTTCAAGAACATTCATACCAAAGTGTTCGCTAAGCGTTTATCATTTCAAGTAGAAATCATAAACACCTGCGAACCTTGGTTTCTGATCAATGGGTAGGTGATTATCATAAACAATAATAAAACACGCCCTAAATCGTTGGGGCCTTACAACACGCATCTTGAAGCAGTTTGACATGTTATAAGCATCAATAATATTCTCGGAATTAAAGTATCTCACTGCGAAGAGCATTTCACTGGAGACTATGAAGATGTATGAAATCCCATACCTTCTTTATATACGCCTGAAGTGCCCTGCAATTGCCTCCCGTTGAGAGGCATAATTGCTATTAATTTCAGTCATGATAGTGTTCCATTATGACACACAAGTCACGATAAGAAGATAATTCTAATTTGGATATATATTTAACATATTTCGCAATAAACCACTTAATGCACTTGGCGAAATTCTCATTGTGTGCAACCACCACTGTTACGCCCTTCTACGTTATTAATCAAAGAAGCGTCAACTTTCCCATCCGTCAAAAGCGGATGTAGGGACTCCATTTATCATCTATATTATGCAAATTCGTAATAATTACGAGCGGCTTCAGCATTGCATTGAGCCCGTATTTTCTCATGCCTTGCCAGTGCGAACTAATGGTCAGTTATTGATATGCCCCGTAATTAGAAGGCGAAATATTGGCGGAGCCCTGGGCGGTTCGTATTACTTCTAGTGAACAAGCACGTGAGCACTGAGACCTCCAGTGCCGAACGTCAAACGTGAGCCTCAGCCTACGTCCCGGAGCATCGGTGGGTAGCTAGTGTCGCATACTGAGAATGCATACCGAAAGAACAATGATAAAGTTATGTGCGAGATTGTCAAATTATTAGCAGCGAGCACTGACCAATCATGATCCAAATAGTTATGAGCTTCATGATATCCTTATTCATTGAGGAGCATTGGTCACTGGAAATATTTACATTGTAAAAACCGCTCACTGTTATAAAGCTCACTGAATTGACCGATAGCGGCTATGCTATGCCTACCGTTTACTCATAATTTTTGATAGAGCAGTACTCGTCATATATTTTATGCAGCAAGATCTCTCCTTAGTGTGGCAATTTTTACAACGCGTCAAAAACGCACTGCATAGAACACATTTATCTTTGCATGTATGAATGTTAAGATTTTTGTTCTATTGAAGGTCGGTGCGTGAGGGCGGATGTTGATTTAGTTCAGGAGGAGCGTATTAACTTATTAACAAAATGGCAAAAGCAGCATTCCGCTTTGTTTAGGTTTTGAAAGGAATTAATACTGCTTGAGTCTTGTAAACGTACAAAATAGGTATTTTGTTCTTCTATCAAAATGAAACGCAAAACGTATAGGTATCTTGTTCACGTTCAAATAACCAACAAGCATTGGAACATGTCTACTTTTGTAGACTGAAAATCAGCTCAAAGTCTATCCGTCTAATATATGGCGTTTACTCAGCATTGTTCCATAAGGCAATAGAGGTTTTGAATGGTATGTACAACAAGTTCTGCTTAGCGCAGGTTCTGGCAACGGAAATCTGCCCATACAAATCACTTTGGGTAAATGTGTAAACTACTAAAAATAGTGTAGTATGAATTACCTAATGCGCGGACATGAGCACACTCAGCCCTGCATACATACATATACATAAGTTGTGTCAAGCACAAACATGAGATATGACATCAGGAGTGACACCTTTGAGGTCCATCTTTATTTGTTTGTCTACGTTATGCAAGATACAAACCAAATATTTCCGAATTGATAGCTTAGAGTTAACGTCTTCTGAGAAGATGACAATTGAAATCATGGTGGGAATATAATGATATACAATGCTATTAATCTTCATTTGTATCATACACTGCCTGATCAACGACGCTCTAAGAAACATTTCATTGTGTGACTCATTGCTGTTTAGTGTTTTCCCAGCGCGGGTGGGCGATCGAATGATAGGCAGAATTGCTTTTACTTTATTAACCCGCGAGTTGCTGGGGGGGGGGGCGTTTAACGCCCCCACTTTTTTCGCCGGGCCATAGCATAAAAACGGCGCGCCGCAGGCGCGCCAAATTTTGGGTACCTGTAGGAAATTGAGTGAAGTTTATTGTGACAATGTTTCAAAAAAATCGGTCGGAAAATTTTTGAGATATCGAGGTTTTAGTGACGTCATGATTTCTGACTTTTCGACCAAAAACGGCATATGTTCAAAAAATCATATAAAATCACAAAATAGACATACAGACATGTCGTAAACGCCATTGGACTGCCAATACCATGAACAATCAAATGGCTATCTTCGATTATTGATTATCGTTCCGCATTTTCCAAAATCTTGAACTGAATCTTGGCAATTTCTCGCGACTACTTCACGACCATGATACATGCATTTCTTAAATTGAACTTTTTTAGCCAAACACGTACACATATGATAAAATGAATGTCACCATCGTGTTCTACGCCCCAAATTACCCATAAAACATGTGTCACAGGCTGCGAATATCAGTTTTGATTTTCGAGGATATGTGCCTACCGGGTTGACCTGACCTTGACCCTGACCTATGCTTGGCTGACCCCTACCTGGAGCTGACACTCTTGTAGGCCTTATATGATGGATTGTGCACCGTTTTGACAGAGTTTATGACGAGAGGCGCCCATTGCGAAGTCCGGAAGTCCATGCTACTGAAAGCCCGATTTCAGGTGTTTGACCTGACCTTGACCCGACCTGTGACCTCCAAATTCAACTTTAAAGTACTCATCTGAAGCGTCTCGTCGCGTTCTTTCGTTTGCCGCCTCGTGCGTTTCGCTGCGCCTATTGGTTCTTGAGTTATCGGCTGGGGGCGTTTAACGCCCCCCCCCCCCCCCCCCCCCCAGCAAACGGTGGGTGGCGAAATACCCCAGCAACTGCCGGGTTAAAAGTAATAGAGGACATCCAAAAATGTATACCTCCATAAAACGTTTGAGCAGTTACGCCATTACGCCACAGGCGTAATTGAAAAAGAATACCTAATGTAAAAGGTTTATGTCGCGATTTCGACCATTTGACGTTTGGCAAAGAGAGAAAACTGTTTGGATTTCTTTCTTCACATCACAAGCAATGTCTGCATAAACTAATCGCACAAATTAGCGGAGAATTAGAGATGTGAGACTGCCAGGCACCCTTTCCTGCCAAAAACATCTCAGATTAATAATTCCACATCAAAAGTTCGATTCAAAAGTCCGCGTCATCCTAATTCAGGTGGATACCCGGTTCAAAGTTGGCAGATCAGCAGAGTTAGTGGAAGAGCAAACATCATTTAAGACACACAACGCAAAACGGGGCCAGAGATATGCTGATTTCTGCGAAGTGCAGAGGATGGTAAAAATGTTATTTGGCTTATATGGTTTAGGAATCATGAATCGTTCAATCTTATATCTTTTTTAGTTTTGTTTTCCCTCCATACCAATTACCAGCCACGTGAATCCATGTTAGTGCTGCGTCTTCCTGTTGCATGCTTCAGCAAATCTTTAGCATTACACAGCTGAAAACGACAAGAACCTACGCACTGTTGTCTCTGTCTGGCAAAACAGCAACTGATTCGGCTTATGAAAAATGTGTCATATTTAAGAGGACAAGTAGCCGTAATTGTGGAACGAATTCATGTATTCAAGCACATAGCTATTCCAGCACAAATCATACAACACTTTTCTACTGAATCAGACATGTCGACATCGGCATGCCGACATCGACTTTTCACCCTAGAGGCTTGCATCTCTCATGGAGTTATTCCATCGATCTTGCTGTTACATGATGCAAACCGATGGGCACGTTCAATCGCTTGTGTTCAACATTTGTGGGATGACGAGATCCACCAGTCCATGGGCCCCATCGCATGAGAGGAGACATTTATCAGCGTAACCCGCGCCCGATAGCCACATTAATCCCGATTTCTGGGGTGACAAATGGAATTTGGTGCCGCCAAGCGGAACTAACTGTACCATTTGAAGATGCCAAAACAGCAATAGGAAGCCGCGTTTTCGTTTGGAAGAGAGATGCTTGTCATGAGTGCTGGCATTCTCTTCGCAGACGGCGCCGAATCGGTCGGCACTGGAGCTTGTCGGTTAAAGACTCTCACCTTTGATATGGTAATCCAGCGCTTCGACTTTGTCGGCACGTGGGACCCAGATAGCAGCGCTCACTATCTCGAAAGACGCAGGAGTAGCCGGCACTTAGTCCAGTCCCTGCACGACTGCTTCAACGAGCACGTCCGCCGGTCCTCCGTGCCATTCACCGTCCTACCCACGGGCGATATGTTCCGAATCCACGCGGCACCACAAACTAAACCACTCCCATGCGTCACAATCCCGACACCCAGTCCACCGTCGGTCTGTCGCCGTCGTCGCTCACGTGCGCCCAACACCGACACCGACGCGCTCACCGGACGGCCGCGCCGACGGGCCAGGCCTGAGTGTGTCGCTGGCCTCTCCGACTGAGGGGCCGGCCGTGCCGAGCGGCACCGAGCGCTCCCATTGGTCGCCGCCGGACCGAGCGCGACGCTGATTGGCTGCTGGCTCGCGTCTCGGCGAGTAATGGAGAGGCTGAGGCGAGAATTGGAAGGTAATCACCACAAACTCTCTGTCAGCCCTGTAATTGGCCAGATTTTTCGGCTTTGGGTGGGAGAGCAATCCAGTTAGGCCCAAATTACAGACTGCGAGGCCATGTTTCCGTAGCGCTGGCGTTCACGGAGTGCTGGCGAATGCCGAATGATGCCGGCTAGGGGTGATGACCGTTTCAGTCACGTGTGTTTGTATCCTTCTCCTTGTCATTTCATCCCAACACATTTTACAGGCTTCCCAGTTCACCAGGAAGTGGCTCAAACAACTGACGTATCACCGTATCAAGTGTCGGCTGAAATGGTCTAAGTGGCAGGCATTATTCCGAGCGTTTTACAGCGCATCCCATTCAGAAGGGTAACAACTCGTGTAATACATTGGCGCAATGGCACGCAATGAGTTTATTCCATCTCTGAACTGGGCTCAGTCGAATGTTTTCTGACTGAAGCCACGGATCGGGGAGTCCCATGTATGACTCATCTGGAGTGATGTGATCAGAAGATCTGCCTGAATTATGTAGGTAATTTCATGTGAAATCGATCCACTAAAGGCCTCAGTCGGTACTAGAGGACACTGGGGAGGGTTAAGCGTTAAAATCAATTGTCGAGAGGTCACTTCTTTGCATTCGCTGTCAAAAGCGTTATGTTGAAAATCGTGTTTCAATGGGGAGCATATGCCTCTTCCAAAGGACCACGATGAATCAGACTTGGCATGATGCACAATGCAAATGATATGCAAAACTGCAAATCTTCCAGAAAAAGATAAAGGTGTTACCTTAACGGCGCTGAGCATGTGCCTATTAGATGATTTGCAGGTCCCAACGTTCATGCGCTTTCCGCAATCCTAACGTTAGACTGTAGGTACCTATAAGTAAAAGCATGCAAAGCAAGCCCTGTTCGAGGGTTATGCTCGCGTTTCAGAAGCTGCACGAGAACGTTGCCGTCTGGAGTCTCTGACCCATAAATATCAAATCGTAGTTCGGCTTCAATTAGCCATGTTATTGTTTATTCCCGGAAAATTGTTCACTGCTGACTATAAAGCTCCCTGATTTAACCAAAGACACGCCATAACCAATTCTGCCGCCTGGCGAAGCCGCCTATTTTTGTTTTAGTTACAAGGAAAAAGGTGCCTGGCACATTTTGTATAACTAACTACACAACAATCTAGCAAACAATTCAGTACCAGTAGATGAAGCTTGTTCGACGATTCTCGGCTTACAATTTCAATGAGCTAAGTGCCGGACTCGAAACCAACTCGGATGAAAGATAAGATGTTCCCGTCCGATGCAGACTAGATTTAGTTGCAAGAAAAGAAACGATGTGTTGAAATCGGTAAGCTCTACGAAATATTCACTGTTTAAATTACACCACGCGTCGAAAATTCTGAAATTCAAAGCCGTCACACAAGTGCATTTTATATTACCCTATAGGGTGTGTGAAAATGTCCCGAGAACGGCTGCTAATTGGAGCGATAAGCCAGACCCCTGCACTACGCCCCCACTTTCTCTGTTTCCCACGCAATGAGTTCGGTGCGTGGCGGGTCTGAGGGGCTCCCTCGCTCTCCGGTTCATCTCGCCCCCACGGCGCCGACCGGCGATTCGCCGGTCGGTCCGCCCGGCCCGGTTACGGCCCGATTTAGAGAGCAGATAGGCCGAGTTATCGACAATAAAGTCCGTCGTGGCGTGTCCGAGCGGCGACCTGTGCTCTCTGACCGGTATGACGAGACGAGCTCATACTCTGTTCGCAACTGACCTCGTTTAAATTGTCATGCGACCCGGCCCGGTTACGAGCGACCCGGTGGCCCGTGACTTTCACACGGTACTCGGCGGCGGCGTCTCGCACTCTCCTCTCTTGGTGAGAAGTAGTGCGGAGTCAGCAGGCGGCCGCCGTTAGTGAAGCTCTGCAGACTCCGACCGACATGCAAAACTGGCGCGCCACTCGCTGTGCTCGCTCCGTGCGTGGTTTACACGCTCCGAACATCGTGTTTGCACACAGGGATGCGACGCAATGCTGCTCTCCTAGTAGAGTTGCAAAATTTCCCTACCGCACTACCGGCATGCCGGTAATTTTTCACTACCGCAGGTTTTTTCGTGGTATTTGGCATATCCTGCCGGTAGCATGCCGGTATTTTTGATTTTGCACCAAAAAAATTATCAGCATATGATCCAAACTTTGGACACTAAGAGGCTATTGATTTATTGAATTGTAATAACAGCAATCTTAGCCACTGCAAAATACATTTTGTGGTAGAAGTTCCATTGCTAAGGGTAATTGTACATATGAACCTCAGCATTTCACAGGTTTGGCTCTAATAAGAATTGTCAAGAATCTACTGTGGTCTATCAAAGGAAGAATACTCATTCAGGTTGCAAAAGCACAACCGATTAGTAAGTTTAATGGTAGGTAATAGGTATAATACAATAAAATAAATTAATGTTAATGGCAACATTCCCTAGGCAAAAGGCAGAATCAAAACACAAAACACATTGTTTGGAAACTGGCCTTGAGTCGTGAGATGTGGTCTGAGATACTCTACAAAGAATTTGGCACTGAAAATCCAGCTGAAAAGGCAGGTATTAGGAGGCCCTGAGCCTAACTTCGGTCCAAAAATGAAATGAAAATGAATTAAACTGGCATTTTGTCTTATCTTTACAAGAAAACACAACATGCAGACCAAATGAATACAAAGTGGCGCTATATGATCAGCTGATCAAGCAACCAAGGATTGACGTTTAAGATCCTCTGTCCCCTAAAAAAGGATGTAAGCTGATGACGTAATATTTATTCATATGCCCTTTTGGTTAAATTACTCAAGAGAAGTGGATTTTCTTGTAGTGAATAACACTCACAGTGTTGATTTTATTGGATTTTAATATCGTGTTGGATGATTTTTATCAAAAAAAAAAATCATTCACGAGGCAGTAGTTTGCAGTCCTAAAACTTTTTTGCAGTGTTTTAATCAGCTGGTTAAAAACTGTGTTATGGCGCATCTGTTTCGATCCTTTATAACCTTGTGTTTGTTCCCGCGTTTGAGATGGGAGAGGATATTATATCGTTTTTATACATATTATTTGGTGACTTCTCAGGACAAGTGAGTTATTAACACATATTTTTACATGATTCGTATCTTACTCACGAGCCAACAAGCCATGGCGGATAGGAAAAAGCGGATGTTAATCTCTCTTCCTCAGTTAGGAACATGGCCAAATCTGTAGTTTTTTATATTGTGATTTATGACTAGCTATAGTTCATTTTAGGGCAATGTGGAAAATAAGAACGCTTGTGGTAAATGTGATTGCTGCTCACTGTGCAGTCTTCAGGAACACATTTCAGTAATTCAAGTTCTTTTTTACCTTGCTTTTTTGATGAATGTGTGTAGGCTTTTTGTAGGCAATACCTCTTTGATTACAGGTGATATTTTAACAGCTGCAAACTGGAATTGAGTTTCAAAATTGTGGTATTTGTGGGGCCAACTCAGCCAAAATCAGGCTGCTGGAGTTTTGGTTGGACAATGGGTGGCTGCTGGGTGGGGCGGTAACTGAAATTGCCAAAATGTGGCATCTCATGTAGGGGTAAGCCAGAATCAAGAATGCAGGTTTTTTAGTATGCCGGTAATTTGGCGGTGTTTTTGCTTGGGGCGTGGTAGCATGCCGGTATCACAGAAAATTTTTATGGGGCGGGGCGGTGCCGGTAGCAGCCCATAGGGAAAACTTTGCAACTCTATCTCCTAGCCATTGTTCAGGCAGATTAGTGGGTGTCAGCTCATAATTCCAACAGGTGCGTGCAATTAAGGGAATTCGGAAAAAGTGTGTGGGACTTGGGATTCACATGTTGGACATCGCGTTTGACACTATGTGACAGTGTATATGTCACCAATAGTGACCAGTTTGCCGAGACGAGGGGTGAGAAACTGTGCCGCGCCTCCAATCAGCGAAAATGGGCTGCGAGAATAGCACTACGGGTAGCTGCGAGAGCCGGTGGTAGGCGTCAGTGTGGACTGAGAGAGCCGCGCAACTAAAAATGTGTTGCGTATAAACTTCTGTATAACGTGTTACACAGAGGTCTACGAATTATGATTGATGTCAGCTCATACGATAGGCACTGTTTTTTTTTCAGCAAAGTAGCAGCGGTCAACCCTTCACCTCCAAACATCTCCACTCCATATGCAATATGCATGCACCTTCCATAGGTAAATTGCAATTCAATCTGAAATGCTCCCAAGGGAAGTATTCAATAGCATTTCAAAAGCCAAACTACAGCTGTTGGCTCCAGATTCTGAAGTCTTTCTGAAGACCTTGAATTGTTCTGAAGTCTGTTCATGCAATATGCATAACAATGTGTGGGAAAAGGGCAACGCTCTGAAGAGTCAACATTTTCGTGACCCAAATCAGATAGCAAGCTAGTAAGGCAAGGTTTCTCTAAATACGTGACCATTCAAGTGTAAGCCGTGCAATATTTGTCTTCGATAGATACATGCCTTTACTACAAATATTGTAGCAAATGGGTAACATAATATGATCAAGAAGAAGAAAAAGCATTGCCACATACACAAGATAAAGTTCGGCAATGTCTCATGCTGGTGTAGACAAGATTGACCGATAACTTTCCACTGATTTCATGGCGCTTGTTAGTCGCTGCCTACACCGACAAATAACGCTCTAACCGGCCAGCCCCTCTCTGCCTAACACCTCCACAGCCCTGTCTTACGACAGATAACGACGGCGGTAATCTTGATGAACATCAGCGTAATGAGTTCCGACATGATCAACACAAAACGGGGGCACGACAAACAAAACCCGACCAAGACGGTGACGAGCAGTCGTGATTTTCCCCGGCCGTTGGCACCGGTAACGCACGGGGAAATCGGCGACACTACCGCACCGCTTGTCGCGCATGATTGTTCCGTAAATTTTCGGATATTTTCAACTGGTTGACGCCGTTTTACGCTAGTTTCTGTGTCGGTTCCCACAAGGAGGGAGCCAGACGTTTGTCAGCCTGTGATTCTGAAAAGCAGATGCCTTACATGACAAAACTATTGCACAACCAGCCAAGAATAGCATGTCTCTGGGGATATTTCACCACTCACTGTTGACATCATCAGACTCTTGCATGCAGAAACGGAGGTTCTGGCACTTTTTCGACCAGCAAAGCCAAAAGACGTTCTCGAGAAGCATTGTTTGGACTCGTGTACAATAAGATTATCCTCTGCTGTCTTCCGCGTGCCGGGTGGTCGCGTTTAGAAGCGATGGCCGCCAGCTACCGACCCGTCCAGAGCAGGGGACGGCGGTCGCGTGCTGGGCACCGAGCTCCTACACTCACCTTTGATCTACACCGCCTTTCTCCGCAGCTTCGCATCATCGTCAGCGCCTTTACGGGAAAAGATGCTCCTGAAACTCAGACAACTCGGTGAATCGGCTCGCCGCCATACGGGAGCGCGGAGAAAAACGGAGCTATGACGCCACCGCGACTGCGGGCGACAAACGCGGAAATCTGCTCTGGTAGGTGGCTAAGGACCGCGGTGGCGACTTGCGTCTTAGACGGCTAACGGGGTCAGGAAGTCACCTATTCGCGCAACTCGCGAGCACTTTGCCCACGGTGATGTACCACGGAACTAACGCGCTTATCCTGTCGCATCATACCGCGCCGCCAACTGACATAAAAAACTGTCGCAGCTTTTTGATTACACCATTCTCAGTTGGCGATAAACAGTACGCAAACGAGAATGTCCAACGGGACATCGGCTTACACGTAGCTTGCTTGCAGAGCTCGTCCCTCCTGTTCTCAGGTTCAGAAATGAAATACTTTTTTCGGGCGTCGAGGCGAGACGTTTGGTGGGACCAGAGTCGGGGATTTCTAGTGACATTTGATAAGGCAAGAGAGTGAAAGAGATATGTTTCACCATAATATCCGCATCCTATTTTGCTGTATTTTAATTGTGAAACGGTACAACACACAGCTAATATCATACCTATATGTCCCGATATCAAACAGCTCATAAATTATGCAAAACATCGCGTTTAGAGAAACGTTCGGTAGCTGGTGGTGAAAATGAAACTTTCATTGATAGCCTGACTAAGCCGTTTTATAATAGATGAGAGTTGCATTAAGGAGTAGTTTGTTAACAGGGTACAAGGTATGACGCCAACTATATTTCTGCGGTGTATGCTGATAATAATATTAAGATTTTGAATTCATTGCAGAATGTAGATATTTTCACCAATTGCTGAGCTCATAAATAAACATCGATCGCTCGCACGCAGCCTCCGTACCCTGGTGTCCCTGTCTCGTGGTCGGAAGTTCCAACATCCGGCCGGCGAGGACGCGGCGTCCGAGGCCCGTCGGCGCACCGCCCACGCCACGCCGCTCCGTCGTGCAACACATTTTTCTTCAGTGCACGTCGGGCGTGGTTCGCCCCCCCCCCCCTCCGAGACCGACCCTCCCCATCCCCTTGCACCTCAGTCGCAGTGACAATGTCAAGTTCCCGGAAACTGTCTGCACCTGAACGGAAGTACCTGACCCCGGCACGGTCCCACCGTGTTCTTTTTTCTGCATGCAGCCGTGCACCACCGCACTAAGACACCAGAGAAAGAACATGTCTGTTTATTGTAAAACCCGGAGCGCGAGCGGTCGTCATGTTGCTGAAGTCATCACTGGCGGCAGGGTGGCGAACGTGAGGAAGCCGGTGTGACCCGGCATGGTGGTGAGGGGGATTCCAGTGAGCACCTCTCGAGGCCGCTCCTCCATCGCCGCCTTCTTGGACGGTCGCTCGTCGCCGTCCGCACTGCCATCTGTCGGCGGCTGCCGGAAGCAGGACGGCCGTCAGTTTCTACGCCCGCAGCGTGTCAGCTGGATAATGATTGGATGCTGATTGCTTCGTGACATATTAAATGTGGTCAGTGAGATTAATCTGGTCACGATCAAGCTCAATGAAGTGATAATTTTCGGTGTATAGGCAAAATGGCACGACGCCAGATGTCAAAAAGGTCATTTAGATAATGGTGTTTACGCTGAAAAAGAAATATAAGTGTTTAGCACATTATGGACCGAAACAGCACAATGCACTTCAATGTTCAGCTAACGAATGAAAAAAGGCTTTATCTTATCTGCAACGGAGATAAGTGACATATTGAAGTTTTCCGGAGAAAATAAAATAATAATCAGTCATGACGAACAGATAATGGAGCATGAACAACAATGCATTAGGAGTAAGGACAAGGATTACTGTGACCAAGTTCCTTTGACAGCAAGAGAACATGCCTCCTTACAACGTGGTAAGTATAGTTTTGACACCTAATGTTACTGAGGTTCATATGTCAAAATCGGCAGCGACAGCGTGATGCTAAGCATTGGCTGGGAAAACGTCATGAGAAAATCGAAGTTTCTGTAAACCTAGAGCCAATCAAGCAGTTGTTCCCTTGTTCTGTTGTGGGTGAAAAATTAGTAGCCCGTAGCCGTAACGCCCAAATGAACCAAGCTGTACAAGGTGTGTTATCACATAGGTTTCCAGAAGAAAAAAAAAACTTCCGGAAAATAATATTGAACTGCACCATAACAATGGGCATTTCATTTTAGCATATCCCGTTTAGTATTCACAGTCCTGTGAACTTACTTCCTGAAGTAAATTTTATACAAGCTAATTGTGCATTGGCAAGTAAAATTTCAACTATAAACGGTTAACTTTTCGCATCAGTCGCAAGGTAAGAAAATTATCAGCATCAAAGATATCACATTTCTGCATCTCTTCAACCGAGATCCAGCCGAGATCTAACAATTTCCGAAAGATGTTCGTCATCCTTCAGGTGATTATAATTGAAACTGAAATTTGGCTGCACAACATTTTAACTCACAATTTTCATACCTGTTTCATTCTCAATTCAATGATAAGGCAAAGCCTCAACGGACTCTGCTAGTTTCGAGTTTGGATTTATAATGTTCGAAATAAACAGCGTTTCTTCCACGCACACCCTTCTTCCCTTAGACCAGGTGTCCAAACTCCAAAGACGAGTCAAGATCCCTCCTCTCCTACAGAGACAGAACAGTATGAAAGGTCAAAGGTGTTACGAGCATACACAAACGCGCCAAACATGTATATCAACTTATCTTGCATCCAAACGGCGAATCAGCCGACGGCTTAGGCCAGAGGTGTGAACGGAAATCGAAAACTGTCACCCAGCCACCAAAACGTCTGTTTTGTGAGATGAAACATGCTCTCAGGAGCAGGAAATGACAAAAATGTTCCGCTGACAGCTAGGTGAAACACGGCCGGCTTAGAGCACGTTCCCATGATGCCCACTGCAACGGTGTCGTATGAAACCACCTAGCTATCTGGCAATCTCGTATAAAACCACCTAGTTATCTTGCAATCATGCGGCAATGGCGCAGCGATTATATCTTCGTGAGAGGCCGGACCTTTCGTTGAGATATGGTCACTCCGAGGAGCGGGCAGACGGAAGAATGTCATGGAACTCTGGGCTCGTCATATTCAGGTCGATTCGGAGACGAGACGAGAAAACGATCGGTCTTATTTTTCGTGGCTCACAGTTTCTGAATGGCATGCGGGAAGTTCGCACGCTCTACAATACTGGTTCCTAAAAATGGGCTGCTTACTCAAGGCACGGATATCAACAGACGTTGAACTGTGCCAAAGTTCAGCAAAATATCTCAGAATTTGACTCCAAATCGAATGCTCCAGCAACATTTTGTTCGTTTTGATGTAGTTACTGGTTACATACATTTCTAATTTTAATAATGCAATAGCCAAACCTGGCTCGACATCTTCGACACTGCGTTCGCTAGAGCCCCCTAAATCTTAATATGTTTGCTTTTGGCCTTTTATCAGAATTTGACTTTTAAGTGACCTCAAATTCCAAATTTCGGGATTGCTTCTGACTCGTCTCGGTGCGACCTTCCCAACACCGCCTCGCGCATCTCGCGCTAGGATACTTACTACAAGTTTCGGAGATAATCTGGAAGGGGGGAGGATTAAACCTCCCCTTGTCTCAGTCAACGGCGTTTGGCTGGAGGCTCAGCAAAACGCGGATTAAACTAAAAACCACGAGTCCGCCATGTCCAATGTCCATCTAATCACAAAGTCTAAATCAGATTCATGGTTAGTTTCAATTTAAATAGAACAATATAGTCGTAGATCAATCGCCAGATGCAATCATACAAGGTGGTTTGATGCGTGCAAAATCGATAAATATTGATGTTTTGTTAGGCATTTACTGTTCCTTAAAAAAAAAACGAAAAACCATTGGACGAACGACAGTTGTTTTGTCAATATTTATACATGTCAATAGTCTTTCTTGACCAATCAATGTTGGTTGAACTGGTTAATCAAATCAATAAGCACTGGGCAATGGGAAAACCACATTACAGACTCATCACAAACTGTTAGAAAAAAAAATTGCTGGTAACCAGAATCTTGACTTATCCGTAATGCTCTAAGTAATCGTAAGACCATATCATTCTAAATCCACCGGAAGTGGCATTGTTTTGGTATTGCGTCTTTTGTGTCACTGGTTCTCAGAGCACTTTTATTAATGATTAGCGGATCACCTCTGTATTTTCAGCAGAAATCCGCCCGATGACCGCACCGCTCAGATAAGCCCTAAAAACATGTGTCGTATACACTTTTGCTGGTCTGCGTAGGAGCTTGGAACAATGATTCCGTCTCACGGAGAGACCCAGGTTCACAGCGGAAGGAACGCCCCCCGCGCAGAAATGGATAACTATACTAAATTGTTGGCCAGTTTTCTGGAGTACAGCCTGCCAATAAGAGTTTGATGAACATTGCATCCAATACATAACGGTGCCGTGAGCTAGGGTTTTATAAAACTGCATTGCTGTGCAAAGATGCTGGTCGCTGGGAGCCAGCTTCATTTTGAGGAGATAAATCTTAAATCCAGCATTGTCCTTTTCAATAGTCGCAGGAGTGTTGAGAGTGAGAAAAAAAAAACAAGGAACAAGCTAAAACGGCGATTCATGGTTCGGAGAATCTCATCATCAAAGTTCATTTTCTAATAAAAGCTCCTGACATGGCACATACACAACTGATTCTTTCCCTATCTTGACACTAAATCAGTTCATAAATTCCATCAAATGTCCGAAAAGGCTGCGCTAAGCCTCACACTAAACACAAAAATGGTACACACCTACAATTCAACTGAACCGGTGCGAGACGATAAATGTATCTGATTATTTTTGACAAATGATTTTTAGAAGCGTTCTTCGAAAAGGTCGAGCTGTCACTTCCGGAAGGCAGGCAGCGCAATCAGAGTGCTCGGGTTGGCACAAAGCGGCTCGAGCCGCCGGCGGTCCCACAGTCGCCCATTGGTCCCGGCTGCGGCCGGAGGTCTTAATCAGTGTCTCAGCAGGACCTTCTTAGTGGCACAGCCTCTATCCCACGAGGCCTTTACACGGATTACAGTGATAAGCACAGCCGTGACAGACTCTTTATCCCGCCGACGGTCACGTTTCCACCATTTGATAGCGCCCCGATCGGCCTATCGCGCTAAACACACGTGGTATCGCCGCTGGGCCGCCGCCCGTGCGCGCTGATCACCATCGGACAGCGCAGGATCGATTCCCACGGGCGGCGAAAACTTTCACTCCCATCACTCGTCAAAAGCTGTCTGCAGTGCAATTACTTAGTCGGCAATAAAACAAGGGCACACCATGAATCAATACACGTCATAAATCAACAATTAGCATCACGCGAGAACAGATAACGAGCTGAGGCAGCGCAGAAGTGTAGCAGCGTTAATCACCCTACATCAATTAGCGCGCCGGCTGTGTTATTACTCCATCCGGGAGATGGTTTAAAACGGGTTTACTGCGTCGCTGACACCCATGGCCGTTTCCGAACGCGGACGCCGATGGGCGATAACTCATGCTCGCGTTAACGACGTCCGAAGGACGGGGTTCGGCCTGGCTCACCTGACTGAGATCGAAGACGGACATCACAGACTTGCGGACCTGGAACTCGCGCTGAAGGCACTCGAGCGTTTGTAGCTCTGTGAAGCCGTGCTTACGCAGGCTGTCACATGTCTTCTGGACCTGTTCTATGCATGGTGAGAACGAGCATATCCGCCCGCCTGAAACAAAGACAGGAGGGGTGTTAGGAGAGCGGCGAGAAAAGATGGCTGGCAGCCTGAAAATGGGGCGATGAGGGATTGATAAAATTGACGGGTAGAGCTGTTTGCCCTTTGCAACAAATGATGGGAATTTGTAGCTCCCTGGTGAATGTAGTGTTCAATACAGCTGATGAAGGCACGAAGAACGATTCTTCCATGCTTGTCCTGCAGTAATATCCCATAAGCAAGTGACTGAGTCGAATACGCGCCAGCGTATGAGTGCATTCATTACACTCACAAGGCGTAATGAATACACTATTTCAAGCAATAACTATCCAGATTTATGTCGCGTCATTGTCACCAGAAACCAGCTTAACGCCGCACCGATGACAGTGTGCTCATTATTGGTCAGCAGCCCCCGTCTCAGGACGTAGATTAACCTGTTTGTATGTAGGAGTGGCAGCGGCTATACGACAAAACTCAGTCAGGAAGACATGTCCGACTGGATTAGGAACATTAAAACACGGTCAGACAGAGTTCAGACTGAGTGTTCCCGACCACACTTACATGTAGGGCACGGATAAACGACGCTAGCATGAAGCCAGTAATGTGATTCACATCTACCAGCGGGTATTTCGCCTGTTTCAAAGCACTAAGAACGCCAACAGGTAAACAGGAAGAGAAACGAGACGAAGGCAGGCACAGTGTCCAGAGGATGGAAACATTGTTTTAACGCGGCCAGCTGTGAATGTGAAGGGACCATTCCGAGAACACTACATCCTGTCCCGTCCACCATCTTGAAGATACCGTCGAAAATGGTGAGATAAGTATATGAACAGTGGATAATGGATATGCCCCATTGCAAAGATAGGGACGGCAGTGAAGAGGGGGTCTATGGTTAAGAGCGACTTAGGTGGATACTGGTTGTAAGGGTTTCAGGTGGTGACGAAAAGGACAATCGCTGGCGAAGATGGCGTACCCACAACTTCCCCTGTCACTAAAAAAACTGTCCAGAAATATCATCAGCGGGATATTCAAGCCTTTGCAGCAGAAGTGAAAAGCCAGGTTCTAATGACAGCTAACTAGACCACGACTACAGAACCAATGGCCACCTCTCACATCACGATTGACTTTGAGATAACCGAGATCACACCAGCGGGAAAAAAATCCAGCAGATGAACTATGTCCGACAGCATTCGAGCATCGGGTTCATCAGGATCGGACGGATATTTCGCACGGATCTGCGAAACTGATCTAATGAGTCACTGCTCTGGAACTGACGGATTTTTGCAGTCCAGACGAAACGTTCTTTTGAACTGATGGTTTTCATTAAGAACGGCTTAACGTCTTATCCATTGATGTTTGATTGTTCATCCATCAAAGCTAACGGATACCTGTGTGCTAGATGAGCGAATGGTCACAAGAAATGAATAAAGGGCGAGAAAGAACAAACGGGCCACCGTTTGGCAAAGGGCAGGACGAGCGGTTCTGAGACTATCAAGTGTTGTACGGCTTACTTAACTGCAGAATTAGTGATCCACAACAGTCATCATAGGCGGCGGAACGGGGAGGGCACCGGGGCACCGTGCCCCCTTTGATTTTGGCATTTTACCATTAGCCCTATGGGCTTGCATGGAAAGAATGGGACCAAAAGTCGGCAGTGTCCCCCTTAATTGAAGGTGTTCCGCCGCTACTGACAGGCATCAACGCCGAATCCGTTCTCAAGCAGCGTGAAACCTTGCAGCGGCAGCAGCTACCATGTCAGATTCAAATATCGTATCGAGGCAGAACAGTGGAAATCATAATTTTGCTCGCCGTGTTTGTTGCGACTAGCGCATTACGCCCACCATTCAGAATACGGACTGTACCGAACAGAGTTGTATCTATCCATCGTCCCTGCTTCTTACATCCCAAACGGCCTCAGACCCCTAGTCCACCTGGTCTGGCATATGATTATAACAAATTGCGGTCGCTGAGCATCTGTAAAACCCCGTACCGCTAGCCCGAGATCCTGCGCTAGCCGCCTTTCGTCGGAACTAAACATGCTACTTTTCCCGGCATGCTTTTCTAGAAACGATTTTTCACTGCAACGAATAAGTAAACATAAACATCTTATGTAAATAAGTGTAAGTTACATGGTAATAGATTAATGCAAATCCTTTACACTTTGAGAAAAAAAAATTGGCATCCCGGAAAGGTAAAATGAGACAACTGCAATTCCAAAAAGCTGTGACAGGTAAAAGTACGAGCAGGTAACCTAGAAATGGCGCAGCTAGATTCACAGCTCGAGGTCCTCCCAGTCACTATCTTTGATCTTACTTTCTTGTATCGCCAATGAGTAATGGCCATTGACTTATTTCAATGCAACCGAAACCGTTACACGCTCTGCTCTGGAGCTGGCTGTGCGTCCCATATCTCGTCACGGACGGGTCATGCCCCCTGAGCAGGCCAGACCGAGACCGGGATGACCCACTCTGTCAGAGCGGTCAGCGGTCAGCGGTCAGCGGTCAGCGGTCAGCACTGAGCAGTCAGCGGCAAGCAGTCAGCACGGACCGTGTCCACCCGAGTGGGAAGTGAGCGGTCAGCGGTCATTGGTCTGCAGTCAGCGGTCCGCCGTCAGTGTTCAGTATTCAGCGGTCAGCGGTCAGCAGTCAGCGGTCAACGGTCAGCGGTCATTGGTCATTGGTCATTGGTCAGCGGTCAGCAGTCTGAAGTCAACGGTCAGCGGTCAGCGTTCATCAGTCAGTGGTCAGAACGGTCAGCGGCCAGCGCGGACCGTGTCCACCCGAGTGGGAAGTGAGAGCATGACGCCGCCTTTCGCAGCGACAGCTGGACTTCCCAGCGCTGTCCCGGCCGGTCGGTATGGTTCGCCACTCCTCCTCTCCCCTGCCCCACGGCCCGGCCAGGTCCGGCACGCCCAGTCTGTCGGGCCACGCCTGCTGCCACACTGCTCTGGCCTCTGGCACAGGTGGCCTTCCCGAGATATAGCAGTGTCACTGGAGTCGTCTCTGGAAAAAATGTGTCAAGACGTAAGGAAAGACCTATCAAGCCCCGGCGGGAAGATGGATTAGTTATATTCGCATTGTATAATTTTGATTCAGACAATACGTTGAAGCTGTTGATTAATTGCCATTTAAGTGTGCTATTGACATTTCACGTAACCAAGGCTGTCAGTTTTTCAACACGCAAACGGCCACCTCCTCAGGGCAGTCCCCTGTCCCAAGTCAGCGGCAGCGCCCCTCACGACTGTCCCCGTATACGAATAGCAGTGCAGCAGCGCAAGCGGCCGCCGCGGCCAGGAGGCGCCAGAGACACCAGCATCCCCAGGCTCCAGACATGGCTCCTCGGTTCGAGCCCATCGCTCGAGCACCCGCGGAAACGAATCGGTCACCCTACCGAGAGCCGAGAGCTTCAACCGAGAGCTTCACAAGCAGATCGTATCGAGTACAGTCCGTGAAAACACTCGGTGACGGTGTGTAGCGGCCAGTCCGATCTGAAAACACTCGGCAATGGTGTGTGGTGGCTGGTCTGATCTCGGCAAACACGGAGTCTCGGCAAACGAGCGGGTCGTGCGCCCCACAATGGCCGCCGTGTGTTATGTCCGTGTCTGTCCCGTGATACCGGATCATCAGCGGGTTGGCTGCAATCACAACGCTACCATCTTGGAGAGCGTCGGCAAATGATCGGTCCGAGGCATCAACATGGTTGTGTGATTGGAAATACCCACGAGGTCTTCATCAGACCTTCAATATCGGAATGTTGTCTTGTTCACAGTGGCCGAATCGGCTGAAGGAACCTAACTAAGGCAATGGTTAATGTTCAGAGCAATGTGACATGAAGACTAAAAGGCATCATCTCGTTCTTCCAAAGATATTTTGTAAAAAGGCTGCACGTACAAAACGGTAGATCAAACACAAACTGATAAAAATAAATATTAAATACCTATCCAACGACATAAAATTTGGAAGAAGTCTGACAGAAAGGTCACGCTTGGCCACAGTGATTAAATTCATCGTCGTCGGTCACTTCGTCACCCTCCCTCCTCTCCCACATCCGGACCAGTCCGCGCCGGGGCCGGCGCAGCTCCCACTCTCCCACCTCCGCCACGGACGGCGGGGGCACCGGCGCGAGCACCGCGGGCGGTGTGATTGCTCGCCCCAGCACCGTTTGGCTTTTTACGGGCGCAGTGACATGAGCCAGCTCTCGGGTCGGTCGGCGGGCGGGCCGTCGTAATCACACTGAGAGCGCTGGTCGGCCAATCAGCACGATGAGCCGACGTCAGCGCTGAGGTGAATTAGAGCGGCCAGATTGGCACGCTCAGGACGGGGCATTGGCGAAGTCGAAATTAGAGCAACCAGATTTGACGTCCTCTACGGTGATAGGTCACTCTAAAGAAACCGATCGTTTTTTTTTCATGAGTTCCTAGTGCAACGATGGATCAACGTCTAGTTGGAGGTGTGATACTCATTAATCAGTACAGGAGCTTCGTGCACTGTGCAGTGTGAATATGATATCACTTATGACTTACGTTCCGAGTTCACCAGCCAGAACACAGTACCTACCAAAGTATCCAGGCATAGGAAAGTCAAGTTGTCTTCTCGACTATAAATCAAAAGTGACATCGTACACCCTCGTCATTGAATTTCGCGAAAATATGAGGCACCCTTTAAAATAGCGACACAGTCATACTGCCTGCCAGCCCTCAACACGAGGATCTAGCCGAAAGGCGGTTTTTGGAAGGCAAAAGTTTCCCAAGCGCTTATCTTATCATTCCATTATTTGCAAATAAATATTACGCTCCAGAGCAGCGCAAAAAAAAAGGCTGGAAAACTTGGGAGCATGTCTCTTTAACAAGCATCGCATAAAAACACTCACTGTTCCTGCTGGGCCAGCCCCCAATTCGTCAAGCCTTTCAAATCAAAGCCCAACACATCACGCCAAACTCAACCAACCGAATGATTTGCAATGAATGAGTAAAAATCAGTATTTCCAGTAGCCACGTAACAGTTCGTGTCATTTTTTATCTCCATCCCAGCACACGACGTCCCTCCGTGAGCACGCTGGCTTCGTCTCGTGAGGTCGCCACGCACCAAGATCGCCGGTGCCGCGTCACGAGCGTCTCCATTCGTGACCGCGCCACACGTGCACAGTGCGGCGGAGGTGGCGCCGTCGCGCCGCGATCGCCACACACACGGGTATTGGCGCCACGAGCGCCGCAGAGATTGCAGCATGGGTTGTTAACGCTTCTCTTTTGAAGCCTGAACCAACGTACCAACGTACTCTTATGTGCTTGTGCATGATGCATGAAATCTCCACAAACTTTGAGCTGCTGAAAGGGTTCGGAACAGAACAATGAGACTATAAAAGACAAACTCCTCGAGGAGTCCGAACTGCTTATAAGTTCATGGCGGATTCTAGGTCTATGAGCAGGTGAGAAGAGAGGAACAGTCTAGCTGACAAGAAGTGTCATTATAGCACATTGATAATGTGACGGACAGCGGGAAGCTGATAGTCGCTGGAATCGTTTAAGTTGTATTTAAGGTCGTGGTCTAAGCTTCTGGAACTGCTCAGAAAGGCTTCAGTGCAGGACGCTGGGATTTTAAGGGACTTTCAGAAACTGCTGGAGGGATATGAGCTGCTAGAGCTGATGAGGAGGGTTTCAGTGTGGAATATATCGACTGTGAGGGACCAAAGAAGGCTGCTGTGGGCGCTGAGATCGGGCAAGAGGTCTGACCGACTATGTTTGCAAACCGTCGACCGTATTCTGCAGCTGGGTGGGGCGGATGCTGACGTAAGCACCCGCCCCCTGTGAAAACCGGCCCCGCCCCGGCCCGTGACCACCGCGTCCTAATCGCATGTTATCGATGACAGTTTTTCGCCATTGGAGCTGGAAATGTTTGGTTCGCGCCGTGCAGGCTCTCCTCTTATCTAGTCCAACGGCGAGACAGAGCAAGTCCGTGAGAAAGAACGATGCTATCGAACGCCGCCATGATACAGATTCTACGAATAATTAGCGATAATGAGTTAATACCAGCGGAGCTGGCTGATAGCTGTGCAAATGTATTTTGGGGGGGAATAGAGCGGTGACCGCATGCATAACGGATGTCGAGTGCAATGTCTGGGGACCGGCGGCCGCGGTGGGACCGGGGACCGGGTTCTCACCATACCCACAGAGCCGACGTGTCAGCCGGCAACGGAGACAGATCGTATCGCACGACCCGCGACGAATTACCAGATACATGCTCTTTGTCGCCAATAATACAGTATTTCATCGAAACGGGCAGAGATCAAACACAAAGAGAGACAAATGTGTGATACAATTTCATGGGAGAACAATCAAACGCCAAAGAAGGACAACTTAGCTTCAATTTTTGGAAGCGTTTTTTTTTTAATAAACACTTTGCACTTTGGGCGCAAACAGATCGCAGAAGAACAGAAAGTAAAGATCTTAAACATGATTTCTATTCAATTGAATAAGCGTTTTACCTGCTGCAAGATTAAGGTATCTAATAAATGACAAGGAATAAATGCAATAAAAATTTATTCTTACCCGAACACTTGCCTAAGCACGGCAGCAAATACACAAGCGACACATGTATAATTAGCTATTCTAGCTATATATCCTGTTCATGCAAGATTTGAAGTCACCTTCGTGCGCGTGTTTAGGGGACCCATGAGGCAACATTTAAAACGGTAAAGAAGTATTGAAATGGTGTTAATAACTTGTATATTAAGTCCTTGCGGAGCAAGCTCTGACATCTAATCTAATCCCGATTACTATTTTAGACATTGAGGATCACATTATAGTGGAAACAACACGCGAACGAATAGTAGGAATCTGTGCGAATGTATCAGACTTCCAATGAATCAAATCAGAAATGAATGGCAGCACCTTCCTGCTCAGTCCAATGATCTGCCAGAAATGCTCGAGACGCCAGGTGCACATTTGAAATTTGTACTCTGACACCAATGTAAGCGGATCTTTGTACAATGCAGTACACCAATCAGTCACGTTGAACATCCGTAACAAATTCCGAGTAAACCAGCGAGTCAGCCAGCTGAATCGCATCTGTTTATAAATGAAACGTATACATGCTTACCGACGAAGTGACTCAGCACATGTCTTTAACTTCAAGTGAGTGAAACGCAAACCACCAGCCGACAGGAGGGAAGGTGTACGGAAAAAACAAATGCACTCGAAAATACGCTAAATGCGTGTACCCACGAATGGCATACCTTCATGAGAAAAACGCCAGCCAGGATAACGCTGCAGAGGTCAAAAATTAAATTTACTTTCCATCCAGCCGGTATAACCAGACCTCGGGTTGATGGGCGATAAAGGGCCGAATAGGCCACTCCACATCTGAAGATCCGGCATTCACAGGGCTTACAACGGCGTGCCTTCTTTTCCCATAACAATTACACAATCCCAATTTAGTGGTGGCATCTCCCACCCGCTAAGCAGCCCACAAAGTTGCATCCACTAATTGTTTGGCGGCGATCTGCCCCAACATCAGACGGCTGTGCGGCGATTGTGGTGCGATCCCCACCGTCCCACCCGCGGACGGTCCGCTCCATTCAGCGAACAGGTGAGAACGTTCGGCGAGCGGCCCGGGAGAGCCTTCGGCGAGGGAGAGCGGTCGGCGAGCCTTCGGCGAGCGGCCGGCGAGCCGCCTTCGGGGAGCGGCCGCCAGGATACACAGACCGACCAGGTGCACTGACATTACCATTGGTACATCCTGCTGTGATTCCGGACGGCAGAAACAACGGGTGGCGGACGGCGTCAAAGGCGCTCCGTACACCTGATTTATTCCGGTTACCGAGAAGAGAGGTTCAGGGCGCCAATGGATGAAAGTGTGAGAGATATTACTCGCTATTTCCGAGGAGCACACCTCCGCGAATTTTTCAGCTCTGGTGCCGGATGCCTGCATTCCGTTCCGAAACACTCAAGCCGGCTTATTACAGCCGAGGATACCGTTTAAATTCAAATCCACAGAAGCAGAGCCAATAGGATTTCAGTAGGCATTTTCATCGCCAACTCTACGAATATCCTTTAGTAGCCCCGATTCTTTTCAGTAACAGTCCAAGAATTTAAAATTGCAAGACTTAGTTTAAGTGTTCCTTAAGTAGCCCAGCTCGCATTGCACAGAAGTCAATAAAAATCAAAGCCCGCTAGGTTCGCAGTACTCGACAAGACTTGAAGCTATCCTTCTTTACGGTAATATTGCGCATAGCCATGCCATACGAGTACTATGCAGAGAGCTCATTTCTAGAAGAAGTAAGGAAGGAAGCATAGCTTTTTTTACTAATGAACTAAGGCATGATTGCGGTACCAATGAATGTTTTTATATCAGAATGATTTTGCATGAAAAAAAAAACAGTAACAATGATAGAAAAAAAAAACTTGCCAGGTTAATGCCTTAGAGCCTCGGTACTATTTTAAGCCCCTGAGCTAATGCAACCCCTCCCTTTTCAGGTTCATTATCGCGACATTGCCGTGTGCACCACCCTGCTTGGGATCGTGGGAGGCCGCGCCGTGAAGGCGGCAGAACACACACCCAACACGGACGCTGGGAAAAAAAACGGCGCTGACACCGACTAAGTCTCTTAGAGCAGACAGGAACGCTGTTCACTCAGTTGCCACCCCAAGGCGCGGTCCGAGCAAGGTGCTATGAGCAAAACGGATAAATTCACTTTAAAAAGTCGCAGCTTGTTTCCAGCATGGCGTGCGATAATGTTAGCGAAGCGAGCATGTGTAAGTCGTTTAAGCTCCTTTTGAAAACATCAAGTGTTTTGTAATCAGCATTGACAGAAATGTTCTTAGGAACATAGGTATGTTCTTGCAGCTTCAGAAATTAATCCTTCAAACAGCGGAACACGGTGTCACCGGGCGGTGCTAGCCAGCAGTTGTGCTGAAAAAAGGCGCCGCAATTTGTACCTGATTTATTGGGTTTAGGTCAGCAGCTTCAAGCCATGGGAATTGAACATTACTGAACGGCGGCAACGTGGCGCCAATATGATAGCTGAGGTATAAAATGGGGCCATATATCGAGCCAATGGTACATTATATCCTGATCAGTCTCGTAGTTTAGCAATTATTTTGCGGTACTTCATTTAGCTAACTTAAAAGACCTCGCCTATTCAACCGGTTTATAACTCAGATAATATGCTTAGTAGTGGCTACACATTCGCTTAGCGCTTATGCTTTTCATTATTATTCAACAATCAACAGCAAAGCACCGTTTTTGTTTAGTGGTTAACGAAACGTAAATTTTGAATCCATGAAGAAACAGGGAACGGAGATGACAAACTGAGCGGCGAAATTGCATTAAGAATATCATTATCCACCTTATGTCATTGGTCATTTAAAAGTAGGTGGAAGGTATGATCGACAACACACTAAAACTGGGCGCGGAAAAAATTCGGCCTAGAATATCTTTCGAAGTTCGCCGTTTAACAGCCAAAAGGTCAGCATAACACACGTCACTGCACAGAAAACGTTATTCCAGCCGCATCTCTCCTGGTTACGAGGCCACTAAACTCTTTAATCAGTAAGAAGGTCGAACCTCCCCTCCCCTCCCACTCTCTCCTCTGTAAAAAGCAGGCACTGCCATCCCCACTCAGCAATAAGAACAGCACCGTACCTGACTTCTTCAGCGCCTGTTTGGCGAATGGCACGGCGTCGTAGGGCCGTGGGAGGTCCAGGAATACAGCATCAGCCACACTGTCCAGGTCGAACCCCTCGCCACAGACATCCCTGGAGAGAGACGAGAAAACAGTGCGCAATCGTCAGTATCAAGCAGATAGATCCTTGTGCTCGCTAGTATTCGATAAATATCGTTTATATATCCGGATATTTAACCCAAATAAAGCTAGTGTCATGCACAAAATCAATGAATTTCACATCCATCCCACTCCATCATAGGTATTCATAAAATAAATTCAATCTTAAGAAGTAAGAATAATGCATTATTTCTCCGCCGTCCATACAGTTTGCTTGAAAACGCAGGTATGAATCCTCATAGGATACACAGAGTACCCAATCACGCACGATATAGCACACCCTCACACACTCCGCAGCACACACCTAGCCAGTCCCCAGAGCACGCACCACGTCCCGTACCTGTGTCGAGCGGTGACATAGTCGCCCACCCCGTGAGCTGAGAACTCCTCAGCGGCCAGTCGACTGCGCTGCTCGTGAAAGTCGAACGTGTGCAGGTGACCGGTGGGAGCTATGGTGCGCAGGATAGCGTGTGATAGCGAGCCACTGCCGGTACCTGGAGGGAGGTCACCGTAGGTTAATAAGGTCAGTGGAAGAGTTGTGCGTTTTGAAGGAAGAGATCCTTCGGTCATGGTCACTGGTCAGTCATAGGATAGGTGAAAAACTGAAAGGTTAGTTCAAAATCAACGCTAACGATATTAGAATATGTTACTAAGACGTAGAAAAGCACAATCAACAGTTTAGTTGTCTGCTTTGCAAAGTTTATGAGGGATAAATAGTTACAAATCGAACACTGCATCGTTGAAATAGGTAGGTGTGCCCCGTGGAGGACTGTGTCAAGCTATCCCAACTCACCGGCCTCGCAGACGACACTGCCGGGCCGCAGTTCCAGCTGGGTCAGCACAATGCTGATGTCGGGCGTGTACAGGATCTGCGTCCGGTGCGGCAGCGTCAGCGTCCACAGCTCGGGCGTCGGGTGAAGCGCGAACGCCCAGCCACGCGTCATCTGCACCTGCGAGCCGTACTTCATACCTGCCACACAGAGGGCAGCACTGAGCAGCCGGCAGATGGCGGCACCAATCGGACTTGCCTACCATTGCCACAGACTGCCTAGGCACAGTGTGTATCGGTGACGTTTTGGGGTTTATTCGGGCACGTTGCTTGGTAGACTGCGTGGTTCGCAAGTGATTCTACACACTTTTATATGTGTAGAACAAGAAAAATATCAGTAAATAAGCAAATTACAATTCCTGGGCCCTGGCAATGAAACAAATGGTCAATGCATGTCTTCAGGTAGGATGCCGATTGCCTGTGCCCTGTGGCATTCCGCGTTCAGGCATTTTAAATTCATATACGAGCAAAAAAAATCTACACATTCATCAACATGAACTTGAAGGACTGCTGGACAATTGACAATATCTACGACTTTTGAACTGTCCATCTATAAAATATTAGGTCGTTCAATAAGTAACGAACAATCGGTCATAACTTCTTTATTTCTTTGTTTGTTTGTTTGTTTATTGGGGCTTTAGGGCGCGTCGACTGCAAAGGTCATTTTGCGCCCAAACTTCTTTATTTCTTTATTTAACACTTTCAAACTTTCACAGATTATAGATCAAATGTTTCTGAATGTAGCCTTTGTCTCAAACCAGTCGCCTCCCGCCTACACACACTTCTCCCAGCGTTCCGGCCAACGCCGGAATTCCGCCCGGAAAAGCGCGTTTTCCGTCTTTTTCACCCAGTTCTTGACAGCGCACTTGACTTCAGCGTCGGTCTCGAAGCGTTCACCACGGAGGCCATCCTCCAGTGGACCAGAGGTGAAAATCTGAAGGAGCCAGGTTCGGACTGTAGGGCGTCTGGGGGCATGATATTCAGCCCTGTCTCGCGATCTCCTCGCGTGTGGCGTGAGACATGTGCGGACGAGCGTTGTCATGGTGTCATCCTGGTGGGCTTTCTTGAACCTGGGCGGACTATGGACAGCGGGCCGCTACATCACAGTCCTGCAGGAGACTGAGAAAAGCAATCCTGAAGAAGAGGCGCGGCTCGGATGTCAACAACATCACCATGCACCATGACAACGCCCGACCGCACTTGTCTCACGCCACGCGCGAGGAGATTGCGTGACAGGGCTGAATATCATGCCCCAGCCGCCCTACAGTCCGAACCTGGCTCCTTCAGATTTCCACCTCTTTGGTCCTCTAAAGGATGGCCTCCATGGTGAACGCTTCGAGACCGATGCTGAAGTCATGTGCGCTGTCATGAACTGGGTGAAAAAGACGGAAAACGCGTTTTTCCGGGCGGAATTCCGGCGTTGGCCGGAGCGCTGGGAGAAGTGTGTGCAGGCGGGCGGCCAGGGCCTATTTTAACATGTTAACTGGGGGGGCAAATGCCCCCGCACTCAACAGAATTGCCCCCCCCAGTCGTCGAGATGTGCCCACTATAAAAATGGGCATAAAGGAACACGGTGACAAACATACAACTGTGACTTGTTTTGCAATGGATGTCAAATGAGTCAGTCTGCAAGTAATGACCAGTGGTGGATCCAATGGTGGGTCATATGGGTTATGACCCCCGCCCCCTTTGGCCCGGGGACACCACAGGCCTGCCTGGGGCACCACCGGCCTGTCAGGGGCACCACAGACCTGTTGGGAGCACCATCGACCTAGGAAGAGCACCATAGGTCTGCCAGGGGCACCACAGACCTGCCAGAGGCCCCACCGGCCTCGCAGGGGCGCCACCTTGGGCCTGTCAGGGATACCACCACAGGCCCGCCAGGGGCACCACAGGCCTGCCAGAGGCACCACAGGCCTAGCAAGGGCACCACGGACCTGTCAGCGACACCACGGGCCTGTCGGGGGCACCTCAAGCTTGTCAGGGCCAAGGGACACCACAGGCCTGTCAGGGGAACCAGAGGCCTAGCAGGGACACCACATGCCTAGCAGGGGCACCACCGGCCTCGCAGGGACATCTTGGGCCTGTAAGTGGCACCACGTGCCTGTCGGGGACACTCCAGGCTTGTCAGGAGCACCACAGTCCTCTCAGGGCCCAGGGGCACCAGCGGCCTAGCAGAGGCACCACCGGCCTAGCAGGGACACCAACGGCCTCGCAAGGGCATCATGGGCCTGTCAGGGGCACCACGGGCCTGTCGTTGGAACTTCAGGCTTGTTAGGGGCACCCACAGTTCTTTCAGATGCACCGGCGGCCTAGCACCATGGCACCATGTTTGGCCGGGATTGCGATTCGGCGCATGTCGCCTCGCATTAGCCGCTCGTTTGCAGTCTTTTCGTGGTTTCAAACGTTCAAACATGGGATATGATGTTGCTCCCATGCATTAGGGTGGGTGTCAAGGTCACCGGAAGGTCAGGTCAGGTCATTTACCTTTGATGACCTCGGTTCACATTTTCGAGTTCTATAAGATTCTAGGCTAGTTTTTGGAGCTAAATTCGAATTTAGCAACCATTTGACCGTTTGCGAAGTAGTTTTGGTGCCTTCGTAACATGTTACGAGGCTGTCAGAGGCGGTTGCCACCTACTACGAACACCCGGCAAAACCCTTACTGGTTGACCTGACCTGACCTGACCCGACCTGGCCTAAATGCATGAAGACATCATCTATAATCATAACTAACATGATATTCGTGATCATCACCCCGAAAAAACATAGCAGCCACCCTTTACGATGCTCTAACAGGTCTCGATTTTCCCGACTTTTGGGTCATTGACCTGACCTGGAAGGTCAAATGATGACGACCTAGGACCTTAACACTCGCCGGCACAGGCCATTTTGCGTCCTTCGACGGCACAAGGGGGGGTTGGTACGACCCCCCCTCGCGTTTGGCCCCTGATCGAGCTAGAGCTTCGCGGAAAAAACGAGCGTGCTGCCCGTCACGAGAGGAAGCCGATGATATCCAATTTTAATGTCCTAGGTCATCGGGTGACCTTCCAGGTCAGGTCAATGACCCGAAAATGGGGAAAATCGGGACCTGTTAGAACGTCGTAAAGTGTGGCTGCTATGGGGTTTTTCGGGGTGCTGATCCGAATGATATCATGTGAGTTTTGATCACAGATGTCTTCATGCATTTAGTCCAGGTCGGGTCAGGTCAGGTCAGGTCAACCAGTAGGGGTCCTGCCGGGTATTCCTAGTAGGTGTCAACCGCCTCTGACAGCTTCGTAACATGTTACAAAGGCACTAAAACTAGGCTTCGTAAATGTTCATCGGGTTGCTAAATTCGAATTCAGCTCCAAAAACTGGCCTAGAAACATGTAAAACTCGAAAAAGTGAACCGAGGTCATCAAAGGTCACTGACCTGACCTGACCTTCAGGTGACCTTGACATCCACCCTAATGCATGGGAGCAACATCAAATCACATGTTTGAACGTTTGAAAGCACGAAAAGCTTGCAAAAGCGCGGCTAATGCGAGTCGACATACGCCGAATCGTGATTCCGGCCAAACATGGTCTCGGAAAGTAGGTCACAGGTCAAAGGTCATTTGGGTCAGGGTCATGAAATTTTCAGGGTAGGTGTAAAATTGATAAATGCGAGGGTACTGAAAGTTTCGTTGCAATCGGCAGCTTTTTACGCGAGTTATTCGCGAAAAAACCTTAGGGGGGTTGCATCAACCCCCCCCCCCCCCTGTGTCGGCGAGGGTCGGCGAGGGTTAACCCTCGCCGGCCGAGGGGGGGGCGGGTGCCGCCCCCCCCCCCCATAGGGTTTTTTCGCGATAGCTCCGAACACGCTGGCGATAGAGAGCTGAAACTTGGCATACCTGACCTTTGATCCAAGCCGCATCTTTTGACACCAACCGCATTTTTTCGTCAGGTCAGGTCACTGACCTATGACGTCATAAGTGAACCTCTGCACGGTCTTCAGATGTCGCAACTTTGCAACGCCCTCACTGCCAGAGGAGATGTCACAGGGAAATGAAACTTGCAGGATCTAGTATCCATTATGAGTCTCACAACTTGTATATCTCGGATTTTTCCTAAAGGTCATATGAGGTCAGGTCATTTTCGTGACCTCACCATTATAAGTCAATGGGGAAAAATGAAAACTGCTATTCTGGCGCCGGGAACGATCTCCAACTATCTCAAGCACACAGAATCGTGATTTGATGCACTCCTTGCAAGGTTAGATGCGTCACTTTTGCAATGTTGACCTTGCGTGACGTCATTTATGACGTCATCAAGGTCATATTAGTTTTTCGTCAATAACTCTTGATCAAATTGAGCTAGCGAGTCGAGAAAGCCACCAATGGACTCAAGAAGACCTGCCGAATCGAATGATATGCGACACGACCCCTTTCGACCAACTTCGTGACCTTGGGGTGCTGACCTGACCTTGACCTGAGGTCAACACCCCAAGTTGACCTGACCCGGACAAAAAGTATATCATTCGACGCGCCTGAGCGAGGCAAACACGATGCTGCCAAAATCGCGGCTCTGCGGCCGTTTTTTGCGAAGTTATTCACCAAAAACTGAACCGTACCCTGGGGCACTTGACCTGACCTCAGAGGTCACCGGTTGACCTAGGACCTTAAAATCGGGTACCAATCTCTGCGTCTCGTAACGGCGCACACGCTCGTTTTTTCCGCGACGCGCTAGCTCCACCAGGGGCGAAACGGCGAGGGGGGGGTCGTACCCGCCCCCCCCCCCCTCGGCCGGCGCGTATGTAGAAAACCAATAGGTCCGACGAGGGTTAAAATTGGGTATCATCGGCTTCCTTTCATCACGGGCAACACGGTCGTTTTTTCCACGAAGCTCTAGCTCGAGCAGGGTCGAAACGGCAAGGGGGAAGGTCCAACGGACCCCCCCCCCCCCCCCATATACGTTCGCAGCTGGAAAATACCAATACGGGCGAGGGTTGATGGATTATTAGAGACAATTTTCCAGGTTGCCCCCCCCAGTCAAATTCCCTTAAAATAGGCTCTGCGGGCGGCGGCTGGTTTGAGGCATAGGCTGCATTCAGAAATGTCTGATCTATAATCTGTGAAAGTTTGAAAGTGTTAAATAAAGAAATAAAGAAGTTATGACCGATTGTTCGTTACTTATTGAACGACCTAATACTTACCGACCAGATCCTTCACTTTTAGAGCTCCATAAACTGTTTGAAAAATGTTGGGAACCATATTCCCCTTCTTGTTCTTGACTTCTTCTGTTACAGTTATAGCATGAATGTTTTTAATATTTAAATACAATATGACTGTGTCTCCCATCTCCACGTGAGTCTTGTACTCCTTGAAACTCATGGTGAATCTGAAAAAGAAATATTGTTAGATTCAGAAATCATGGCACTGTGAGCCTGACCTGACCTAACCTTACTTACTAGCCTAAAACTTTCAACCTACCAACCTACAACCTACAGCCCTAAAACCCACAAACTACCAACCTACCTTTGTACTTCATCTTCCAATATACCCCTACTACCAACTTATTGAAAGATTGAAGGCAGCAGTTACCTGCATAAGTTCAGCACTAAGGCAGTCTGAATGTGCTAAGAAGTCAGTGAATTGAAAATATATAAGTAGTATGAAATGAATCACAACTAAACTAACCAGTCCTTAATTGGCTAAACTTAAACCATAACACAAAACTTGAACAACCCCAGTAGCAATATCAATATCAATATCAATTATACTTCAACCCCAGTAGCATGCAACATTGATTAAACATTAGAACTGGTTGCATCTAGGTTGAGTCAACACTGAGGATCAACAGACTTTTGACATTGATCCAGCATTGATTATGATTACACATAGATTTTGTGTTATAATTGGTTGAATTCTGGTTGATTGTCAACATTGAGGATCAACCGACTTTTAAATTACATCCAACATTGATTTTATATTGATTTTGCATTGTATTTATTTTTTTAAATCAGGTCATATGTGACAGACGACAGTCAAGTGATACGATGTGTACGTCAATGTTGATTCTATTTTGAATCAACGTAACTGTGCTACTAGATTGAAGGGAAGGGAATTTGTTTTGATTGAAAAATAATTAATTAACATTTTCATTTTGGCCCCAACAAAAGAAACATTTCATTCCATGAACTATACACATACACTACAAATGTATCTTCGATATTCCTACTAATCAGATAAATCGAGGAGAGCACATTTATATTTATTTTGAAATTTGAATGGATTGTATCTATAGTATATCATCTATCATCTATCTATAGTATATCTATGATATAGGGCCTTGGATTGTATGATCAGGTCGGCGACTGCAGCCTCTTATCACAATCAGTGTCAGTGTGGGTTGCAGTGGTATATAGGGCCTTGGTTGCAGTGAAGAACGGAAGCGTCGTACTCGTAGCAATGGATAAGAATTTGATTGAAATAAATACATTTTTCAATTGATGTTGATATTTTTCTTACAATACTGTAACATTCAGACAAATTTCAAAAAAAAAACATTAGGTTCTACTTTCATTTCTACTAAGGTCCTCTTCGTTGTTGTTGTTCTGGGTTAGGGCGCGTAGCTAAGGTCCTCTTCCTTCAACAGTCAACGTGGAAAACATTTCGAGATCAATTGTAAATGGCGCGCACTAAATGACTCAAATATGGAAGCATTTGGAAGCATTCCCTTTTGCCGAAAGCTGAAATTTTTTATGTATGGTGAAGAAAAACTGTAAATGAAGTGGGAAATGCTGCAATGATGTGTGTATTATTGAAATGATTACGATTGTGCACTCCAGTCTTCAGTGTGCACTCCAGTCTTCACATAACAACGCACATGCTGGGTAGAATCGTCGTTGGACGCTTGACCCTGACGGCTACGCGCCCTAATCCACGAAGAAGAACTAAGAAGGATGGGTAAAATCGTCGTTATCCAGCAGCACATACTCTATAGGTACTTATTCCGTACTCAATATGATAGTCATATAGGTAAATATCCCGGCCACCCGGCGATGTTAGTGTGTCAAAGCAGTGCACTCTGTTGGCAAAGCAAGATGCATTTTTTGAATGGGGTGCTCGTTTTCTGCAATATATTCTGAGCTGAGCCAGTGGCGGATCCAGGGGGGGGGTGCAAAATGGGCATTTTCCCCTCCCAAACGGCATAATTTTAACATTACGCCTATGGACGAGGCATGGAAAGAATCGATAAATTGTTATGGTTTGCCCCCCCCCCCCAAAAAAAAAAACTCTGAGCTGGATCCGCCTCTGAGCTGAGCCATTCCCGGCGGAAGGCATGCAGTCGTGTTCCGAGGGCGCCTGTTGCATGTGAGCCTTCCGGTCCCAATTTTTGGGTTCGCCCCGCCAGATCACTGTGAATCTCGTTACAGGTGATCCATCACGTCCGCGGTCCGATGCATTATGTAAAGTGCTACATGCATCGTGCAATAATATATGTAGGTTTAGGTATATGACGGCCATAGCTATAGGCCGTAACTCTTGTTGAAACCATTGTTGGTATGCCAAAGAGTGTGTGTCCTAAGAACCAACTAAGACTGGCCAATAATGACCGATTAAGTACTTCTGTACTTCTGACCCTTTAACTTTAAGCATACTAACTTACAGTCATCGCACTCGCTCAACGGTTGTGTGCAGTTCCAGTATGATATGTAATATAGCCTCCGGGATGGTCGATGAAGCCGTTTGTCCTACATGGGTACGCAGTCCCAATGGGTCACGTCTGTCCCAACTCGGCTCACCCGTCCCGCACGGCACACCCTTCCCTTCCCACCACAGCCGGAAAGAAAGGCTCAGCCGCTGCTGAGGCGCACCAGTGGCGCTGCCGTCGAATCACCTTCTTGTCTCACTCTCTTATCCCACCGGGCACCGAACTAGATAATCTCACGGGGGCAGCTGCCCTGAAGATTTCATCAAAATCTATCGGCCATCGGGCTGTGTGCAAACTGTGCAAGGTGCCCGAATCGCCTGCGCCAAACACGAATCCTACTATCCTACCCTAAAATGTCTACAGTCTAACTTAGAGTCATAAACTGAAAACGTCCAACATAACACAATACGAAGCACTTTATCTGTGTATGCAGTGCATGGGGCTCATGGCTCCAGGAACGATGTTTTTCGTCAGCCATTATAATGCTTTGCAAACGTGCGAATAACAAAAAGTGTTCTTTTTTGGCAAATATGCTCAATTCGCCAAAAACATCAGGAATGTATCTTAATTAGTTGTTAAGTTATCTTGTCTTAAATCGTCTAGGGTCAATGTCTTCTATAAATACCTATAAATCGTCTATGTAAGCTCATGAATCTGAATAGAATAGGCCAATTCATCCTGAGTATCCATTCCTGAGTAGGTATGCTGACTAAAGTGGTGAGAAACCCATTGGCAAGGTACCGAGAATACACCAACTCACGACACCGTCGGCCGTTCCCAATCGACCCAATTTGAACCATAACAGCACGTGCCACGTGGCCTGCGTTCATACATGCGCAGCGGCACAGATTGGTAGTATATTTGTGTTTTCTGCCATTCCACCCTAAGACCCGTCGCCCTCGCTTCATATAAGCCTTGCTTATCGCAGCTCATTGAATTACGTTTCACATCGGTGGTAGTTTGGTCCACAGTTCGCACTTCACTGCACACGGCAAACCGACGGTGCACATTGTTCTGCGACTAAGGAGGGCGTATAAATTGGACCGCCACTCTACCGCGCTCATAGCGACATAGAGTCAGAGTCAGACCAGCTACACAGATTAGCTACCGTGTCCTAAGTCAGCTCACGGCGCCGTCTATTCAACGTTCCCGTCGCAGCCCAGGGTGAAGTCATGTTCATCGCTCCTCGTTTTCTGTGCTTGGCGCTGTCCGTGGCTTTTGGAGTTGTCGACTCGATGCAGAACGGCTCACCGTCAGCCTCGCTCAGCCCGATCCATTTCGGTAAGTCTCGAGCAACGTTACGCGGAAGGAATAATGAGTAGTTATCCGTTCTCTTTTGACTATTTTCCTAGATAGACACTATAGTCTGTTCCATATCGAGCTTGCGGTCGGACTCGGAGTTTCTTCGGCAGTTCGCTCCTCCGTTCAATAATTTGCGCATTTGAATGTAAGAGCTGCATATATGTGCAGAAATCAGGCACTGCTTTCAGCGAGGCACTTCGACCGCAAGTTTGACATGGAACAGACTTTATCTTTTGCTAGTTAATAAAAAGCGAAGAACGTTTTTTTCCTAGCACATTATATTGAGAAGCAAAAATAAGGTAAAAAAAAGATTACGATAAATTAGTTCATGCTCCATTTGTTTATTGTTCATTCACTTATGAAGCTACGTCCTAGCAAGGCAGATATCACACATTAGCAGAATTCCTGATGCAGCGACCTGCTAATAAATACAGCCTTGGTAATTAATGCCCATATCCGTGCGAACTGCGACATAACAACAACACAATAAAACACTCTAAGCCCTGAGTTTGAATATCAAGCTCGCTCTCCGCTCAGTGCCGGTCAGGCACTCTCCGCCGTCGTGTTGAGCGCCATTATGCAGTCCTGCAGAGGCGCCTGTTCCGCCACATCTATGCAGTGGTCCCAGAGGGTGGGCGAGTACTTGCGGCAGGCAATGTCCGGGTCGTGCACTCGGCGCCAGATGTCCACCAAGTCGTCAGTGGGGATCTGGTGAGCGCCGAGCAGTGCCCGGAACAGGCACGTGTTGTTACTTGGTACCGGGTAGGTGTAGATCTCTGGCGCCCGCCGGCGCCCCACGCCCGCCCCCTGCGCGCCGATGCCGGTGACCGCTACGTCCTCGATGAAGAGGTAGGGCCGCTTCATGAGGTGCTGGAAGATCCCACACACAGCGTCGGTACTGATGAGGTACATTGGTCCGCCCATGTAGCGCGGAAACATGGGCTGGTCCCAGATCGCCTCGCTGACGTAGAACACTGACTTCGGGTCGCGCTCCGGCTTCGGACTGGAGACCAAGTTGCCGTAGATGATGTTCCTCTTGTCCTGGTGGTACTCGATGAACTGCATCAGATTGTTGAAGTTGATGAAGAGGTCGTCATCCGCCTTCAAGACGAATTTCGCCTTGGGGCAGAACGTGTCCACCCACTCGAGCGTGGCCAGCGACTTGAGCGTCAGGTTGTTGTAGTGGTCGACAAAGTTGGCCTGCACAATGTCGCCGAAGATGTCGGCCTCCTTCTCGATGCTCTCCTGGACGGCCGAGTCGTTGGTGCGTGCCACGAGGAAGGCCAGTACCACATCTGTCCTCTGAATGCCGGGCCGGGCCCAGGTACGGCGCAGCGTGCGCCGGACGGCGGCTTTACTCGGTCGGCTCTGCACCATCATCACCAGCTGGACGCCGTCGCCGCCGTCGGCACATAGGTAACCGGAGGGGATCTTGAACCCGGGCTCGTAGTAGTCCCGGGTGAGGACGGGACCGTCGGCGGGAGGCTGCTCGCCGGGAACACCTGAAAGCACAACAGAGTTCAGATAGTGATGGTGATTCTAATCGGGAAATGCTCTACGACTATGCTACGACGTACCAATTGTATTGAGTCGGATAATTAAATATTGGACCTGAAATCAAGGTGAATCGTTCCAGCGCACGTATCTCTTTTAGTCGTCAGTTTTACAAGGCATCACGCTCCACCTTTTAGCTAATTAGTCATCATGATTTATTTAGTAAATATAATATAAATGCATCTGGATATGCGCATTTGGTAGCTGATGAGCTAGAGATCTTTACACTCTTCAATTTACTATATGCCAAGCTTAAACAAAACGGCAAATTATTAAAGATAATTACCTCTGAGCTATTTGGTAAAAGATATCCGTCCCAGCTCAACAACAACATATATAATCATACCTCTGAGCTAAGTAATCATTCGGTAACCGTTCTTATTTTTATCTATTTTTGGCTTACCTATTGTTGGCGGAATGCACGTGCAGTCGCAGGCGCGTCCGTCAACTGACCACCACGATCGAACTGGGGGACGGGCATACAGCTGCCCTGTTCCGCTAAACTCGAGCTCCTGTTCTTCTCGAACATCTGTGCCCACGACTGCGAACAGCAGGATGCAGGAGACGCCTGCCACGAGATACAGCAGCTTGCGAGGGACCCTCGTCGATAGAACCTTGTTTATATTTCGGTGCAGTGTTTTGCTTCTGAAATAGGAAAGAAATGCACGTCAATTCAAGGAAGATAACGATCTGTGAACAAGTTACGAAGTGGGAAAGACAAGATCTTCGAGTAACTTAGCAAAATGTAAGAGCACTTTGACTAGCCGAATCTCTCATGAGCAGGGGTGTAACTTTTGCTTTTGAGATGGGGGTGCACTTGGTGATGGGGGCGACCTTCAATGAGGATAGGGGCGCTTCCAAGGTGCATAGATGGTGCATACATTATACATTAGCGTCGCCACGGGGGGACAAGCGGGGCAGCTTGCCCCCCCCCCCCCCACCCCCGACCGGGCTCCCCTGAAATCAATGCAGATCCGATGAGATTTTGGGGTCGGCAAAAAAATGGGGGTAGTTTTCATGAATGGCTGTAAAGTCAAAATCGGTTGGAGTCGCGAGTCCCAACCAGAGTCGGAGTGAGAGTCGCCAACATTTTCAGGACTTTGACTCCAGGCTCGAACGTATCATAACTTTGATTCAATCCATGTCTTGGCTGGTGTTAGCTGAATTTTACACTCGGTTTTCAACACTGTTGTGGAGCTGGGAGCGACCCCCTTACCTCCTCTCGGGAGCAGCGCTCCGTCCACGCGCAGAGACCGGGTCCGTCCAGTACCTACGCTGACACGAAATTTTAGTGTCAAGACCATTAGCGTCGCCACGGGGGGGGGGGGCAAGCGGGGCAGCTTGCCTCCCCCCCCCCCCAACCTTCAACCGGGCACCCCCTGAGATCGATGCAGATCCGATGAGATTTTGGGGTCGGCAAGAAGTGGGGGTAGTTTTGAAGAATGGCTGTGAAGTCCAAATCAGTTGGAGTCTTGAGTCCCAGCCAAAGTCGGAGTGAGAGTCGCCAAAACATTCAGGACTTCGACTCCAGTTTCGAACATATCAAAACTTCGATTCAATCCATGTCTTAGCTGGTGTTAGCTGAATTTTACACTCGGGTTTCACCAGTCTAGCACGCTGACACGAAATTTTAGTGTCAAGACCTAGCTCGAAAAATTCGGGGTTGGGTTGGGGTCGTTTCCGACTCTGGCCAAAGGTCTGTGACATGTTCAAGTGCCGTTAAAGTACCACAGGGCTAACGAGGGCCGTGCGTAGGTTCCTAAAAAGTCCCACTGAACTCTAAGAAGGGATCCCACGCTAGCTTCCGAGGGACCCAAACTGACCTCTGAGGGCCCTCAGGCCGGCACTTATGAACACCACTACGATCTTCCACCGCTGATTCTGAAGGCTCGGGCGCAAATCTTTGAGAGCCACTTTGGCAGTCCTTTTAAGGGCCTCCGCCGGTCTCAACAGCCCCATATTGGCTTCTGAGGGTCCATCGGTGTGCAAGGGGCGGACCCATGGTAGTCTCTGAGGACCCTTTCGACTTTGATGACCATCCTTACGACAGGCCTATGAAGACCTACACGGGCCTTATCATAGAGGGGCCACGTGTGCCTCTGAGCAGGGCTGCGAGGTCGGGGTCGGAGTCGGTCGGAGTCGACAGCTCTGACCGGAGTCGAAATCGGTTTTGGAAGCCGGGGTCGGATTCGAGTCGAAGGCACCGATAAATCCATCACGGAAACTGAGCATGCTAGAATATGGATTATTAGAAGGGCGAACCGATTCCCTGGATCATTTGCAACTCTTTTCTCTGGATAAGGTTTGGGATCATCTGCACGGACCCGTCCGAGGAAGGGAGGGGGAGGGGCCCTACAGACCCATTGTATCCTTCCCATTAATAGGCTCTACCCTGCTAAACTAACGTAACGGGTTATGCGTTTTTAACTGACGTAACTGATTTTGCCCTGGAAATCCTAAAAAAATACTTTCTACATTTCATAGCTAGAGGAAAAACTGCATCACCATTGCATTCCTCGCGCGCCATGGCGCGTCGAGTGACATATAAAACGTGTAAGTAATGACTATAGAAAGGCATGATTAAAGACCAAATTGGATTTTGTCCCCCCCCCCCCCAACCGAAAATCTCTGGCGACGCCTATGGATGCAGATGAGTCCAATGGTACAAAGTTGGGTATTATGAAATAAAATTGAATTCGTTTGCACGAATATCAATCAATCAATTGAATTTATAACGAATGAAATGGCATTTTACTTTTTTATTCCAACCTCTTATAGAATTGGGGTGCCCTTTTTATGCTCGTCGACTGGCGAGACCCACTTTTGCTGGAATCACCTTTTTCATTGGGCGCCCTTCTACTGCTGGGGTCGCCTCTCCCTCTCTCCTGCTGAGGTCACCCCTCATTCTGCTCGGCGAGACTTACTTCTGATTGGCGCTCCTCCTCTGCTGGGGTTTCACTTTTCTGCTGGAGTCTGACATTTCCCTTGCCGGGTATGCCCTATTTTTGCTAAAGGCGTCCCACCACCTCTGCTGGGGGCGCCCCCGGCCCCACTGCTGCTGGACGAGCCCAACTTTTGCTCCAGGTGCCCCTTTTGTATAAGGGCGCCTCTCTTTTTTAGGCATCCCTCTCCCGGTAGGGCGCCCCTTTCTGGTGTGGCGCCCCTTTCTGCTGGGAGCGCTCCTCTTCTTCTGGGGGCGCCCCACTACTGCTGGACGAGCCCAACTTTTGCTTGAGGTGCCCCATTTATATTGGAGTGCCTCTCTTCTTCTGGAAGCATCCCTCTTCTGGTGGGGCGCCCCCTTTCTGCTGGGGTGTCCTTCTTCTGCTAGGGCACCCCTCTTCTGGTGAGGCGCCTCTTTCTGCTGGAGTCGCCCGTGTTCTACTGAGGAAGCTCTTCTACTGGGCGAATCCATGCTTGAGGTGCCTCATTCCTACTGGGGGCGCCTCTCCTCCGCTGGGGCGCCAGTCTTATGCTTGACGATCCCAACCTACGTTGGAGGTGCCCTACTTCTGCCTCGGGCGCTCCACTTTTGCTGAGAAAGTCCCGCTTTTGCCGGGGTGCCCCTTTCACCCATTTTTGGGGGACGATACGACTGGACGCTTCCCAAGCCCGCAAGCATCACGACGCCGGTCACGAGACGGAATGTAGCCGGGAAATCACCCTCGCCATCTGCTCAAGAGCTTATCGGTGTCGGGCGGCGTGTGGTGCGCCGCTTAGCCTATGGGGGTGCACTTTGACGTGATGGGGGTGCACTTTCAGGGGATGGGGGTGCACCTGCACCCCCATACATATAGAAAGTTACACCGCTGCGGTCGCTTTATGCAGTATTGCAACATTATTTACATGGTGGAAGGAAAAAAGATGCGGTTGCTAAATATGCAGCGCCACTAAACAATTTTGACTAATAATTAAGGAATCGATTAATTAAATGATAAGCACACATGTGGTTTAACAAGTGAGGTCAGCGTATGTGTGAGCTTGTCCGTAGTAAATAAAATAAGAAATTTAAAAATAGGTGTGAGTGGTTTTGCCGGTTCGCTCACAAACGGTCTTCTGCATCATATAGCCCTATACCTTCTATAAGAAATTCGGCTGTTTCTGTCCCACCATCATTCCTGAACGGTCACCCATGGACCACCGTCTCCGACAAACGCCACGTTCCTTTTCAGGAGTGTCAAAATTGTTCCACTTAAGAAAAAACGTATTGATTACGTCAGAGACCTCTGTATACCAGTTCAGAGGTAAATGCCTACAGAGGTCTATGATTAGGCCGATTGTATACTGAAACCTGGTCTACTCTTTCAGTCAGTGCATTTTATTGTGTCAGTTATGCTGGGGACTATGAAGTGGGAACATCACAGAGTGTGGTGCTACTGCAATTGCGCACTGCAGTCAGCAGTGCAATATCAATTTTATATCTCAAGAGCGATTACAATTACGCTCAATCCTGGTGCGCTTTAGGGACCGCTCGGGCTCAAATTAAAAGAGACGGCTGGCCGGGATCTCAAGCTAGAGTCCAATATTACACATTCGCTAGCAAAAAATCGTCTTGCTGATATAAGTGTTGGATTACACGGCCCAGAAATGCCGTACTGTGTCGTGAAAATTCAGGCTAGCCAGTAGCCAGCTTAGAGGCCATCGCTCAGCTGTTTCTAGACACAGGGTGCCAAATTAAGTGAACATGAAATGTAGGTATAACTAGATACGAAAATACAGATAAATTGTACTATGGGGCGCTTTTATTTTGAAGCAAAAGGACCATTTTGGACTGACGGTGAAAGCCCGTATAGCCCGTATAGTGAAAGCCCTTCCAGGTGGTGGGGGGCGGGTATTTTTTGCCCCCCCCCCTTAGTTTTTAATTTACCTCCAGAACCGCTGCGCCGATCGCCACCAAATTTTCAGTGCCCTCCCGTGAATAGTTTTTGCACATTGTGACCAAAAAAGTTTCCAAATGCTTTGATAGGTTGGCCGCTAATGACATTGAAGTGACGTCATTTCTGCCATTTTCGATATTTATTATTCATAGGTACTTACAATTTATAATTCGATGTATAATTCGTATTTTATCATCAGTCGTGAGAAGCGTGAGGGGTAACACTGCTATGGAAAGGGCATAAGGACACAACGTCTGCTGCTATGCTGTTGACTGATTCATAAACGGATCCGGAAGGGTGCAGCCTCGAATGCTGCTGGGGGATACTTAAAAAAAATCCAAGTTCCAAAAGGTCCCCGGATTTCGATTCCTTGCGCACTGTTGTGCAGTTTAAAGCGACCGTTTCCTCATAAAAGTTGTTTTCTTCTCTTTCTTTTCTTGAAAAAACGATAAATCAGTTATCGATTTCGGGAGCTATGAGGTGCATTTGCCCCAGGCCCCCAATGCCCCCTAGGATCCGCCAGTGCAGTGTGAACTGATTCTGTTTTAGCGGTCTTTTTCATGTGTTTGGGAGTTTGATAATCAGTATCTTACACCTCCCAATAGCCATATGGAACAATTGGCCCCCTAAACACAAAAGTTGCCACCTGGGAACCTACTCGCGCATGCAGGAATACGTTAGAATATCATGAAAACCTACCCATTTGATCACGAGCTTTATGCTGTTCGATACAATGTTCCAAAAATTTGAATGAAGCATCTCTTACTCATCGCACAATGCACACAGACCAATCTCATTCTCACTCTAAGAACACATTCGGCAGCAGCACGTGGCACGTGTTGCTCTAACTCACCGTGCGCGAAACTCCAGCCACAAGGAGGCCAGCACCATCTCGAGCTCCGCCATGGTCGACGCTCACCGTTAGACTGGAGTGGGCCGGCGCGTCGGATCGCTGCACGCCGGAGCCGGCGCAGAGACGGGTGCCGTTACCTGGACTGGCTGCGGCCCGCGCACGCCCGCGACGCCCCTCCGCACGCTACCTGGGAGGCAATGCACGCTACCTGGTGCTGCACCGTGCTGCGCCGGCCACCAGAGGTGACCCACCAAACTCAAGGCCCTATACCGAACTCTGTGACCAGCGAGACATTAGCATAGGCACGTCGCAATAGATGCATGCAAAAATGGGATGCTGATAGGCGCAGGAGGGACACTTAGGAATATTAAGTTAATCTATTAGAAAGTTGGTTGAATAATGGCTAGGACTGAAGATGATAAAACAATAAGAAGGGAGGTTCACAGCTGCATAAAAAAAAACGAAGTGACAGCAGCAAAAACAGCAATACACAACAGGCACACGCGCACACATACCACCACTGATGCTTTGTTCCCTTTGACAGCTCCGGCGGAGACGAGCGGCCGTAAGCTCCTGCACCTCAACATGCACTCGCCCGGGCCGTCTGCTCCGGGCGCGGCGCCCACTTCTACCTCCATAGACGGTCGACTCTCACGGCTGGTGGTGCGCCTGGCCGGCCTTGCCACCAGCGTGGCCCAGCTGGAGGAGACGGGCCGCGAGCTGGAGCGCTCCGCCGAGACCACCAGCAGCGACCAGAACCTGTCGCGGCTCGCCTCGCACGTCATCAGCCTGCAGCACCGGCAGAAGCAGAAGTTGCAGGAGCTGTCGCACAGCGTCACCGAGCGGCTGACCGTGCTGAAGGCCCACCTGCGCGACCTCACCATGGAGGTGCAGCAGCTGCGGGGCCTGGCGACGGTGCAGGACGGCTCGCACGAGCAGCGCGGACCCATCCAGCGCATCGTCTCCTTCTTCCGCGCCTTCGAGCGGCAGTCGGACCCGGAGCTGCGTCAGGTCCCCATGGCCATCCTGCAGAAGGCCAACTACACGATTATCGACATGGTGAGCTTCCATGCGAACTCTGCCGACCTCGACAAGCTGCTCTCCATCAAGATCATCGAGCCCAAACTGTAAAGAATCTACTTCACCTTACTCACACGTCTTCTGTTTGAATTGTGCCACATATGGTATACGTTCATTTTGACTCATGCTGCAAATAGGGCACACAACTAATAGCTATGTAGATGCATTACAAATGCATTCCATGTATTGCACAAGGCTACATATATATCGCAATATTCTTTTCGTTCTACCGATTTGCTACTTCTATTATAGTTCAGCATTCAATATGCATAGTGCATACTTGTGTATTTATCAATAAATAAATGGCATTTTGAACGCGGTAGTTCAAATATTTACCCGCTTGGCAAACCAAACAAAATAAAACGCGATGGACAATGGACATAAAGACATAAGACACGGGAATTTCTGTCATATTTAGGTATTCATGCACTTCACTGACCCGCAGAGGGTGGGGCAGGGGGTCATGAGCCTCTACCCTGGTCGAGCCAATTTTGTTTCGGCTGGGATCGCTAGTGTGCCCGCACGAGCGTCAGCGTATAACAGGGTACTTCATGTCACGCTGACCGTATCAAGACGACTTCGGGTAGAATATACAACGCCACAACGACGAATGTGTTGTCACGGTGACAACACATTCGTCTTTTTATAGCCACACTGACCCTAAAAGCGACTATTTTAACATCATCTGTCCCTTAGCATATGTACAATTGAAGTATTTATTGATGATTCTTATTTCCCTCATTATTTGTCGCTTTTAGCAATGAATATTTGTGAGATAAAGACAAATTTGCTACATGACGCAACCTACCACGACTAGAGATTTTTGGACGACCGATACAAGCGCCTTCAGTCAGAACCAATTTTGGCTCCCGTTAATCATATCGTTAATTGATCCATGGTTTCTTGGAAGGGATAGGTAGAGAGCATCGAACTCGACCCAGCGCTGGGCGACAGGACTGGCGACCGCCGGAGGGCGACGGCCGGCAGGACAGCTCTGTCGCCTGGGGCGAGCCAAGAGTGAAACAGGGAACTCTACAAACGTGATGGTAGAGTGATTTTATCACTCTACCATCTAAAACTTCATGCAGTTTTAATTGTGTTTAATTGGGAAAAAATACTAGCAAATCAATTTACTGAAAGTTTTGACTATACCAACATAACATGCAGAGTTGGTGAGCCGGCCGTCAGATATAAGGTTGAGATCCTTCACTTCTACCATAACCTTTTATTCGTCTATTTAAACAACCACTAAAACGTTTGCATGTGATACCAGGCTTAGTTACCTACGATTTTTCCTATAAATACATTCACGCCTTATCAGCCCCCTCTATTTGTATTTGTATTTGTATTTACATTTAAGAGCGATCCACATACAAAGTGCGTGGCGATTACTGCTCAGAATCCGTATCCGCGGTTGCTATTAGGATCAGCGTACTACTGGATCAGCCTATACTTACCTCACTGTTCCGGGCTGACGGTTATTCCACCCGACAACCGAGGAGGGCGGCTCCATGATATACACTGGAGCCGAATGGAGGATACCCCTTCAGAGTGACCGTCTAAGCGTCTGGGTGCCTGGTGCCTCCCCACTGGGCACTCCCGTCGCATTACCCAAGCAGCGAAATTGTCGGTGGTCAAAGCGCAGTGTGTCAACTGTCATACTGGATCCACGGTTCTCGGCAAAAACATAGCGAAAAATAAATTTTGTTGAATATCGAAATTGACTTAGCGGACTTCTTTGTGCCACTTTGAAGGAATTGCTTTCTTCAAAACCGTTTTATATCCACGGTCTGACACTGAACTTACCATAAAGTGTTTTGCGCATTCATATAACAAATACAATGGTATTTTACACTGCGACCATTTAAACGTGTCCGATCCGTCTCTCATGGGAGACCAGCGTGTCCGCTTGCCCCAACGACCTTGAATGTGCCTGGTGACCTCTCTCGACACCATCGGCGCGCAGTTTCGACTGTTTATCGCCAGCGGTGTCGGCCCTCAAACGCGTTTTGTGTTTATCATTTTTAGAATACTGCGGAGCGTGTTATGATGTTCCTAGCCGCCCGCTGGGACATGGCTCAGATAAACACATATGATCTTGACACGGGTCCCGCGGCGAGGGTCGGCCGTAGCTTATCACTACCGAACCGAGTGGGTACGACGATGTGCAAATCGGCATTTCACCAGACCCACAAAATAGATACTTCTCCATTAAATGCAACTGTGACTGCGGCACATTACGTGAGAGGTTTTTTGAAAGTTGCAATACCCTAATAAGATTGTGAACTCTTCTCACTTATCTAATTGATTAACCGAAAAACGTTTTGATAGTGTGTAGGCTATAAATTGTAATAAGGATGCACAAAACTGCCAACGAGCTGAACAAAAGACGAGCAGAAATCAAACGGTTCGTCTTTTCCAAGAAACCAGCTAGCTCCAAGACGCCAGCCACGAAACCGGTCTCACCGCCACTGCGGGAGAGGCTAACTACTTTAGCTCCGGTTTGGAATTTGTATGTCCTATCCAAAGCATCGGGGGCCGTCCGAGACGGTCCAGGACATGATAATTCTGAGAATATCGGAGCGAGTGGTGAACCGTGGGTCAAACGAGGTTAGTGACTGCGTCTCGACTTCTCTGTTATACCAACCGGTCCACCGCTCGTGCGCCATGGCCCCATATTCTCACATCACGAATGCACCCTTGCGTCTCGAAATGCAACGACCGGTGACTGCGCCGGCCATTCATCCCGGCATCACTCCAAATGTGAACTTTTGACTTATTTACCCGGTAATTTTTTATCCGCATCGCCTTTACTTACTATACCTACATAAATGATGATCTTGTTATAATATAATGCAACATACCTGTCTAAGTGTCTAGTATGGTAGGTATATTATCTGGCACATCATATACGATCAAAATGGGTAATGGGTTTACTCAAGTTACGAAATAACTGCAAGCCGACCATCTACTTGGCAGGGGAACATCTTACGAAAATCGTTACCTATGATTAGCCAAATCATTTGGCGACATCTGACATTTCGCTTCACTCACACTATTGACGTAGCACCCCATCAAATTTAAGTAGAGCATTCAAAATCCATGATAATCATTATAATTATCAAATTTTGCACCTCTACCACCCGTCCTCAGAAGCCCCACGCGTCACCCGGCTGTGGTGTGCCGTCTGGCACGTCGGGCGCCGCGGTGGGACCGGGTCGCGTGCCACTGGCACGTGGCCGGGAGACGGGTGTCTGTTTGGAATCGCCCGGTCCGGACAGTCATCAGGTCTGCAGCCCCGGGCGTCCGAGGGGGCCGAGGGGCCACACGCTGCTCCGACCCCGCCGCTGGCGGTTCACCAGTGCGAGCTGTCGGTCGGCAGGGCGTTAAAAAGGCAGAACCGTCAGAGTGCGGGTTTTGACGTGTCTTATCTCTGTGTGAAGAAAGATAGTGTGTCTGGTTCTGTTAGTCTAAGTCTGTGCTCACCATGGTCCGACCTCGGCATCCATCCACTTCAATCGGCGACACAGCCTGGCTGCTGGAGAGCGCCAGCGATCACCTGGCGCCTCCGGCCAGCCACGAGTCGGACCCGCTCGCAGCAGGGGCTGGAGATGGCGAACAGATTGACGAAGACTCGGCCGCGCGGCTCACCGGCCGACAGAAGCGCATCCTCGGCGGTCTGTCCCTGGGCGGTCTGCTGGCCGGCTGCTGCATCGCCATCATGATCCCGTTCTTCCCGCACGAGGCGCAACGGCGCGGCCTGCCACAGACCTACTCGGGTGCCGTGTTCAGTTGCTACGCGCTGGCGCAGCTGCTGGCGTTTCCAGTGATGGGTCGACTGGCGCCTCGGGTCGGTGTTTCAAGACTCTATAACGTCGGTCTGGCGACAGCAGGAGTGACGACTACTGTGTTTGGAACACTACCACACATCCAGGACTCGATGGCGTTCATCGGCGCTTGTTTCGCGTGTCGTGCTCTGGAGGCGGTCGGCACAGCAGCCATGCACACCGCCGCTAGAGCCATCATCATCAACCAGTTCCCACGGAGCCCGAACACGGCTATGAGTATCTCGGAGACCCTGGCCGGTCTGGGTCTGTCGCTGGGGCCGGCGCTCGGCGGCGGCCTGTATCAGCTGGGCGGCTACGGCACGCCGTTCTACACCCTGGGAGGTCTGATGCTCGTCTCCTCTGCCACCAACCTGTGGCTGATGCCGTCCGTACGGGAGGACACCCTGCCGGCGGCGGGGGCACCGCGGCGCGGCCCGCCCGGCGCCCGGCTCCTCCGCTTCCTCAGCGCCGCAGAGAACTGGCTCTGCTGCTCCGTGGTGCTGGTGGTGGCGATGTACGTCACCGCACTCGACCCCAACATCGAGCCGTACGTACGCGTCGCGCTGGGTGTCACGCCGGCCGAGCTGGGCCTGTTCTTCCTGGTCTCTGCCGGCTGCTACACGGCCGCCAGCCTGGTCTGGGGCCGCCTCTCCGACAACATCTCCAACACGTACGTGCTGACGGCGCCGTGCCTGCTGGTGGGCGCCGTCGGCATCCTGTTGATCCCGCCGTCGCCGCTGCTGGTCGGCCTGCAGCCCGTCTGGTGGCTCACCATGCTCGGTATGGTGGTGAGGGAGATGACCACGGGTGGCGCGTTCATCCCCATCATGCACAGGATGGTGCGAGTGTGTGTCGCTCACGGCATGGAGAACAACCTGTCCACGCAGGCGTTCGTGTCGGCCGTCTTCGGCGCCGTGTTCTCCATCGGTAACGTGGTCGGCCCGACGCTGGGAGGCTACATCACTGATCTGTACGGCTTCCCGGTGGCTGCCACCGGCCTAGCTGGATTCGGCGTGCTCGTGGCGATCGCCTGTGTTGTAGGGGCAGTGGTGACGCGCGACTCCTTGCCCAAGTGAGCAGGTCAGCGCCGAATCAGTGGCGCGGACCGGCGACATAACTTCATAAGAACTTGAGTTGAAGTGCTGAGATGGATGTATGTACAATTGCGAATGCGGAGAACATGTGTACTGTAAATTGTCGTCATAAGGTGATGAGCCCTAAGCCTAATGGTTGTTCTTGTTGGTTCATTATTCATTGTTTGCGGTGCGCCGGTGGCTTACGAATGTTTTCGGTGTTTTGCAATACATATATCTTAATAATTGTGTACCTATGTTGGCATATTGTACCTACCTACCTAGTATAGGTACCTACTGTAAATAAATTTTGCACAAAATGTGCTTTCTCTCTCTCCTTCTCTTCTTCTATCCTTTCCTTCCCTCTCTCTCTCTATCTCTCTCTCTCTCTCTCTCTCTCTCTCTCTCTCTCTCTCTCTCTCTCTCTCTCTCTCTCTCTCTCTCTCTCTCTCTCTCTCTCTCTCTCTCTCTCTCTCTCTCTCTCTCTCTCTCTCTCTCTCTTCCACGCTTGCTCCCAATGACAAATCTAGTTTCTTTAAACTTTTTTGTTTGTAAATTGTATCCTGAAAAGACAAACTCAGAGGCAATAGCCATAGACATTCCAAGGGGTACCTATGAGCATTTTGGGCGAAATAATAGCACCCGAATACTGAAAAGGCATGCCAACTAGCCCTCGCCAGTCGCCCGTATTGGTGTTTTTTTTTCCAGCCGTGAGCGTATAGGTACCTAAGGGGGGCCGTTGGACCCCCCTTGCCGTTTCGCCCTGATCGAGGTGAAGCTTCGCGGTAAAAACGAGCGTGTTGCCCATGACGAGAGGAAGCCGTTGATACCCAATTTTAACCCTCGCCGGCACAGGCCATTTTGAGTCCTTCAACTGCACAAGTTGGTTCGGTACGACCCCCCCCCCCCTCGCGCTTGGCCCCTGATGGAGCTAAAGCTTCGCGAAAAAAAACGAGCGTGTTGCCCGTCACGAGAGGAAGCCAATGATACCCAATTTTAAGGTCCTAGGTCATCGGTTGACCTTCCAGGCCAGGTCAATGACCAAAAAATCGGGAATATCGGGACCAGTTAGAAAGTCGTAAAGTGTGGCTGCTAAGGGGTTTTCCGGGTTGCTGATCACGAATATCGTGTCACTTTTGATCACAGATGATGTCATTAGGTGTTAAGACCAGGTCGGGTCAGGTCAGGTCAGGTCAACCAGTAGAGGTCGTGACGGGTATTCTTAGGAGGTGTTAACCGCCTCTGACAGCTTCGTAACATCACCACACCGATCACAGGGGGTGGTGCGGCTGATGATCGGACGACGAGCATCGCAACAGTGCCACACCGGCACAGCGGCCTGTGGTGGCGGCCCAGGGCTGCGGAGTCGATGGATTTTCAGCGACTCCGACTCCGACTCCGACTCCGGCTTCATAGTTCATAGTTTATTCGTGGTTGCATCCACTGAAAAGTGGCTCTTCCAGCGCCCGAGTCACACATACAAGTCATAAGATATAAAACAGTGATGACATAAAATGAAGAGGAGAAACACGCGATAAAACATGGCACTCCACGAACCTATCCTACCTCCCGAAGCAGCAGAAGTCTCAGCTGTCGTTTGAAGGCAGGTCGCGACAGAGACTGCAGCTCATTGGGCAGTCTGTTAAATAACGCACTGGCATGAGATAGACGCCTAGCACCAGAGCATGTCTTTGCACGTGGGCACTGTAACTGGCCAGACTGCCGAGTGTGGTGGGGTGTCGACACATATGAAAGCATCGCTGCAATATCCGCTGGCAACTGGGTATCAAGCGCAGTCTTGATCAGACACAGCCTATGATAGCTGACGAGCTGCCTCGCTGAGAGCCACCCCAGCTGCCGAAGTACATCGGATACCCGATCATACTTGCGCCGACCACCAATGACACGTGCGCAGAAATTCAAGAGTTTCTGCACACGGTGCAACTGGGAATCATTGCATGAGCCATACACAGACACACAATAACGTATTGAACTGACAACAAGAGCATTCACCACATACGCAACAGTCCAAGAAGGCAGCACGTGTCTAGAGTGAGCTAAAGAGATGAGGATGCCAGTTGATTTCGCGACAAGGTGAGTGATGTGATCATCAAAACTCAGGCAGCGATCCATGGTAAGTCCAAGATTTTTCACAGTTTGACTTTCAGTGATGAACGATGAACCAAACTTAATCGTAACAGGTGGGATGCTTTGCAAAGTTCTTTTTGTGCCATGAACGATGAGCTGTGTCTTAGAATGGTTAATTTTCATCCTGTTGGAGCTAAACCAGTCGGCGAGAGCACCAAGGTGGTTCTCCATGGTAGCAATGAGCTCAGGTAAGTGGCTCTTTTTACCGCGTACAGCGATTTGCACGTCATCAGCGTACTGAATGATGGTTGCATCACAAGCATGTAGAGCCAGGTCGTTGCAGAAAATTGAAAACAAAATTGGACCCAGAGCTGTACCCTGATACACACCCATCGTGATGGGCAGTGAATCGGAGCAGACCAGCTGGCCGTCCGCACCGCGATACTGCACCTGCTGACTGTGATCAGAAAGATACGATTCAAACCATGTGGTGTCAATGTTGTATAACTTGAGCTTAGCAAGTAGGAGATCATGGTCAACTAAATCAAAGCCCTTCGACAGATCACACAGAACAACAAGTACGATCTCAGAAGCGTCCATAGCCGAAAGAATAAAATCTGACAGAACGGTGAGAGCTGTCTCAGTGGAGTGCAGCTTTCGGTAACCGTGTTGGGTAGCCGACCAAAGTCGATGTTCATCAAAATATTCACTGAGTTGCAAATAAACAATGCGCTCAACGATCTTGGACACACCAGGAACGACAGTGATTGGTCTAAATTTAGTGACGTCTGTGAGGTCAACAGATTTGGGCAGAGGCGTAACGAGACCGTGTTTCCATGCAGATGGCACGCAACCTGTGGTCAAACACGAATTGACAATATCATGGAGAACGTGTCCTAAGCCATAAAAACATTTTTGGAACATGTGAACACTAATGCCATCAGTTCCACAAGATTTAGAAGCATTTAAACTACCGAGTGTGTACAGTAGGTCTACTAAAAAAGTCCCCCGCTCCAGAGGCGGCCGGCCGGCCGAACCCCCGGATTCCAGCCCCGACTCTATTGCGCAGGCCGCGGCAGTGACACGGGTCAGGTCGCGGCGCCCGGCGAGTGGGTCAGTTGGCGGCGGCCGGCCGTGGAGTGAGGACGCCGTGTGTGGGGCGCAGAGATGCCGCAGTGCAGAGGAGGGGAAGATACTCTGCACGATGCCGGAAATGATGCCTTTGTGATCTAAATTAAGCACCTGCACTGCAGTGCATATCCTCCCTTGCCCCATTCCTATTATATCATAATCCTTCAATAATCCGTAATGACCATTCAACGCAAGCAAGCAATCAAAACAACCCGTTTAGCGGCGACATCATCTCTGATAAAAAAGCGACAGTGATGATTAGAATTGACTTAGCGCGAGGGCAAATCGAGGGGTATATATGTATCATGTCATTATGCCGAGTATTTTATTCCATCTAACAAATTAAGATTGGGGATCTTGTCCAACAAGTCAGCGGCCGTTCTAGACACAGATAAATGCGTTGTTTTCGGTCGCATCATTACCTGCAATAATTCGAAGCGAGGTTTAACCTCGCCGGCCGAGAAGAAGGGGTGGATGCCGCCACCATGTATTTTTTGTGGTAGCTCAAAGCACACTGATGATAGAAGGCTGACATTTCATATGCCTTACATTTGATTCAAGCCGGATCATTTGAAATCAACCACGTTTTCATGTCAGGTCACTTAACTATGACGTCTTAAGTAAACCTCTGCAGACTGCTGACTGCACGGTTGTCGGTTATAAAATGACGCAAATCCGTAATGCACTTAGTGTCATATAAGCATAATGGGAAAATATGGAAACTGTTAATTTGGCGTCGGAAATGATCTAAAACTATACCTCAAGCACATGAAATCGTGACTTCATACATTCTTGGCAAGGTTTAATGTTTCACTTTTGCATTGTTAACCTTGCGTGACGGAGTGCTCGTCAATAGGAGTGCTTCGTCAATAACTCCCGATCAAAATGAGCTAGCCAGTCGGGACAGCCATCAATGGACTCTGCAAGACTTGCCGAATCAAATGTTATGCAATATGTCCTCCTTTCAACAGCTTCGTGACCTGTGTTGCCCTAACATGACATTGCCCTAAACATCCTAAATTGCTTCACCTAAGCAAAAAAGCATATAAATCGACGCGTCTGAGAACAGAAAACACGATTGTATCGAAATGACGATAATGCGACAATTTTTTGCGAAGTTATTCAGCAAAAACCGATCCAATGCATTGGGCCCTTGGAGGTCACTGATATTTTAAAATGGGGTAACAGTCGCTGCGTCACGTAACGACGCAAGCGCTCGTTTTTTCCGCGAGGCTCTAGCAATTAGCTCGATTATAGGAGCTAAACATGGGGTTGGGGAATTGCTCCCTTCTCACTCACTATGTGGCCGGGATAGTGTTTGCCATTATTGTTAAAATCTAACATTTTAAGATTTCAAATGACCCATTTTTTCCCGCCCAAGTCTTTCAATTCAAGGTCATAACACCAGGTCACGTCAAGTGACCCTACCTCAAGGAAAGATCCTGTGCTCATCATATCTAAATACATCGACTAACCGATCGCTTAGAACCTTCAGCGATTTCAATGGGCAACAGTATATGTATTTGAAACGTTTACTTTGTAAGTTTGACATTGCTGACAGAAAGGTGGGGTCAATTTTGAGATCGCTAAAGTCAATGAGAGAAAGTTGAACTGCGCTTTTTCGGACGGAACGCATAATAAACACTCTGAAAACATGTGGTGCCTGATGAGATACAATACTGAATGAGAAAATTGTTTGTTTTGTTGGGGGCCATCTTTTTCGGTCTGAGAAGGCCCTTGCAGAGCTATGACATAACTATGCTCTGGTGTAGTAATTTGGTTGT